ATCTAGGAAAGAGAGAGACAGGGATGGAGAAGGGTCCGAGGGAGGCCTTGCCCTCAGCTCCAAGGGCCCTTCCTGGGCGATCAGTCAGTGGTGGCAGGAGCCGTTCTGGCTACTGGTGGCTTGGGGGAGGGCAGCAGAGGAGACAGCAGCGGTTTCCTCAATCCAGGGGCTCACTTTCGCAATGGGGAGAAGAATGACGTACCCCCATCCCCAGCTGGCCTGGGGGGCCCGGTGGGTAGGCCCTTTCACCTCTCAAGTGGGGCACCCGCCGGAAAGCTTGGGCAATGGGGCCTGAGAGCAGCCAGCTTCCTGTTGTCTGGGACTGACCTAAGGCAGTGATTTTTGGGGGTGAGGTCTGGCCAGAGCCCCAGAACTAGGCCCAGCGCCCCAGCGAGGAAGCTGGCTGCAGAGCCTCGGGTGGGTGTGGCCCCCTCTGTGCTCCAGCTGTGGCCCCCTCTCAGGCCCTTGTGACCGAGGCTGTGTAGTGACCCACCCGAGCTGGTGACAGGGGCCCTCTGACTCTGGGCTGGGGATCCCTGGGGACTCCCACATCCCCAGTGGGACGGAACTCCTTGAGGGCAAGAACTCTCTTGGGGCCTGACGCCTAGGAGACCCTCTTTTAGCCTGGGGTTTACTGAATTGGGGTAGACTGGCGTCGTCTTCTGTGTCTATTAGGAAGACACGCCAAGTTCAGGGGGGCCAGGGATCCCCTGGTGCTGGCAGCACCGGGCAGGACCCTACACCCGCCCTGTGAGGGAGAAGCTGGACGGGCACGGCTGTGGCTGGGGGAGGAGGACCAGGCAGAGCAATGCTGACCTTTCTTAGCTCCTGAGGAGAGTCCCAGCCTGGGCCACCAGCACCACAGAACCAGCATGCTGGCTGCCGGCCCCAGTTCCTGTGGCTGGGTGACCTTCCCCAGGAATCCCCCCCCTGCCCCTCCAGCCGTGATGCGCCTGCTTGGAGTTCCCTGCCTGTCTGACACGCTCCCTTGACTTGTCTCAGTCTCCTCCTTCTAGAAGGGATGAGGAGGGAGGGCGCTGGAGAGGGATGAGGAGGACACAGCTGTTTCCACCCTGGCAAGAGGTTTCCTGGTGTTTGTGACATTGGTGCCCTGGGCCAGGGCCGCACGTAGTCCCCGTGGTGTCTGGTGGCACGCAGGAGTGGGGCACAATGGGGCCTGGCTGGGGATGGATCCCGCCCAAATGCAAGAAGAGATGGTACCCTCTTATTGCACATGGGGAAGTGACCAGAGGTGCCGGGGGCCCCGGGAAGTTAGGCTGAGAACCCATGCCCTTACCATCACGGCCGACGTGCGGGGAGGTGGTGTACGGATGACAGAGCCCGGGCCCTGGGGTCAGGCAGCCTCAGGGCCAAATCCCGGTGTCGCTTTCTAGCTTTGGGCCTCGGTTTTCTCATTGGCTAATCTACTTATCTCCTGGCAAGAGAGGGTGACAGGGATTCACGAGGATGACAGATCTCCTAGGGAGCTGACCCCATGCCTTACCCCTCACATTGGGGCCCCAGGCTCCGGGTCCTTACCTTGTCCTCCCCCTCCCCAGAACTGCATGAACTTGCCCCCGGACAAAGTGCAGCTGCTGAGCCAGTATGACAACGAGAAGAAGTGGGAGCTCATTTGTGACCAGGTGGGTACCAGCCCCTTCCGGCATCAGGGTGCCCTGCCCTGGCCAGGCTGGGGCTGGCAGGAGGGGGGGCACTGCCACGCTGCTGGGAGGGCCAAGACCCTGCCCAGAGGCCTGTGTAGCATCTGCACAGGGTGCTGGGGGTGTCTTCAAGACTCTACAGTCTCCTTCTCTTGGACATGGGCCTCTCCAAGGACCTTATGAGTCCCTAGCAGGGCTGGGTCTGCCCTCTGAAGAGCTGGCAGGGGCTAGTGCGGGGCGCTGGCCAATCCAGCCGGGCCATGTCACCGTCCTCCTTGCTGGGCTTCTTGGAGCAGGCTCTTTTGACCCTCCAGCTCTGGGCTGGGGAGGAGAGGGGGCAACCCCAGGGTCGGGCCTCTTTGACCCCATGGGAGGTGAGGAGGAAGGGACAGCATCCCCGTCCTTCTTTTGCTTGGGCCCAGAGGAACTGGTGTCAACCAAGCAACAGCCCGAAGGTGACCAGTTCCCAAGTGGCAGAGCAAGAACTAGAAGCCCTGTCTCCTGGTGCTCGGTCCTGGGCTTTGCACCGGCACCTGGGTTTGCACCTTTGCGGCTCACCGGGTGCCCCTGCCTCTCCGGCTCCTAGGGCTGCTGTCTGTGGTGGCAGGGAAGACCCCTCTGGCGCTGCTGGGCCAGGGTGGGGACCTCGTTCAGTGAGGGAGGGAGGCCGGGGGTGGGGAGGTGGGGAGCAAGGAGCCTCCCCTGGGAGCCAGCGCTGGGCCTTCGGCTCCTGCTAACGGACTGCAATGGGATAAGCAGGCTGTGCAGGAGTCTGGCGGGTAAGGGCTGGGCCCAGGCGGCAGGGTGAGCAGCTGCTTCCAGAGGCCTTGGGGCTGGGGTAGGGGTCCCTGCCCGCCCCCCCGCCACCAGGGCGGGGTGTGTGACTGTAGTCACGCCTCCAAACCCCACCTCAGGACCGCGCTAGGGCTGTGGCTCGTGAGGCCAGCGTGGGGAGCGAAGGTCCGGGACTCGGGCCTTTTAAAGCAGCCTGGTGGGTGGTTTGGTTAGATCTCTAGTATTTCAGAGGGGCCTTCAGATAGCCTGGGACCCGGGGTCAGAGCTGAGGACGGGATTCGGGGCAAGGGCTGGGGTAACTCTCGCTGTTGCCCTGTTCACCCCACTCTGTCTCCCCAGGAGAAGTTTCAAGTCAAGAACCCTCCCACCGCCTATATCCAGAAGCTGAAGAGCTACCTGGATACCGGTGGGGCCAGCCGCAAGGGAGCGACGGACTGGATGTCTAACCTGGGGGTATATGTCTCCCCCTTTTTCTCTGGCCCTCCCCCCCTGCCACACCTTCTGAGCTCTGGGCAGTTAGAGTAACTGTGTGAATAACCTTTCTGGTGGCCTTTGTGGGTATGTGTATGAATGTGCGCGTATACTTTGAGGGGATTGAGGGGGCCCTGGGCAGGCTCCCTTGCCTAGCTGCGGAGGCTTACACGGGTCCACTCATGTGCACTGTGCAGCGTGTGTGCACGGGGTGGACGGGTGTGTACTACGTGTGTGCTTTCGTGTCCGCACATGGTTGTGAGTGTGTACCCTTGGGTCCACGTGTAGATGTGCGTGTGCATGCATGTGCGTGCGTGCACACGTGTGTGTGTAGCCCAGGTGTCCGTGTATGGATGTACCCAGGGTGGTGGGGGTGCTCAGACTTCACCCACCAGACTCTCCTGTTCTTGGTCCCAGTTTAAGAGGCGAGTTCAGGAGTCCACACAGGTGCTGCGGGAGCTGGAGATCTCCCTGAGAACAAACCACATTGGGTGAGCAAGGGCTCAGATTTCCCTCTTGGGGGCCTCGGAGAGCTCTGTCCCCAGGCAGCTCCTGGGGCTTCCCCCTGCTACTCCCCCGTCACCCCCCAACACCCCCCATCCCCGCATAGGCCGTGCCTGCGGGGCCCCTCTGGGTTGGGGTGTCCAGCACAGCTTCCCTGCCTCCTCTCCTGCCTACCCTCTGTTTACCCCTTGAGGCATGGCGGGGCCATGGGTCCTACCTGAGCCCCCTAGCACCCTCTAGCCTCACTGGGTCTTTTGAGGTTGGGGCTGGCTGGTGTCTCGGGCGTGGGGTGGGGGATGAGCAGCCCCGGGGCCCTGGCCGTGCCTGTTCTGTGCCCAGTCTGGGCAGGACCTCGCTCCTGGCTGGAACTCAGGGAGCCCTGTGCCCTGCAGGTGGGTGGAGGAGTTCCTCAACGAGGAGAACCGCGGCCTGGATGTGCTCCTTGAGTACCTGGCCTTTGCCCAGTGCTCTGTCACGTAAGCCTCCTGCCCCGGCCTCACGCTGCTTCTCAGAGCCCTGGTCCGTGCTTCCCTGTACGTCATCCATGCCTCCGGCCACGTCCATGCGGTGCCGCCCCAGCCCACCCTGGGCTCACGCACACCGCACCCGCGCGGTGGGTGATGTCCCTTCCTCAGGGCCTGCATGGACAGGGAGGGATGTGGCCTGGGGTGGCCAGCTGGGACCTGGGCGGCTTACTCTTCTGTTCCATCATTCCCTGGCCCCCTCCTCTGCCCAGCATAGCACCGAGCACAGCCCCTGATCTCCCCTGCACATACCTCTCTCCCCTCAGCGCTCCCTGCCCTGCCCTCAAGGGCCCCTGCAGGGTGGGCCTTCAGCCCCACTCTAACCCCTGCAGGTATGACATGGAGAGCGCAGACAACGGGGTCCCCGGCTCAGAGAAGAGCAAGCCCCTGGAGCAGTCCGTGGAAGATCTCAGCAAGGGGCCGCCCTCGTCCTTGCCTCCCCAGCCCAAGAGCCGCCACCTGACCATCAAGTACGTGGGTCCCCTTGCAGGGTGGCAGGGGGAATAGAAGATTCACCCCTAGACCGTTGCACCCTGCCAGCCCCGCCCCAGGCCCTTGGGGGTGGTGGGAGGGGCAGCCTGGTATTGGGGGTCACAGTAAGGGCCTCGAGCAGGGCTTGAGAGATGGGTGTGTTAAGAAGCCTTCCAGGGATGGGCACCTAGGAACTGGAATCTGGGTGGGTCTGGGATAAGGAAGGTGCTTCTGGGTTGGTGAGACCTCCCTTGTACCTATCTAACCCCCTCTTCTTTCCTGTGCGGCCTCCAGGTGCCCCCCCTCTCCCCGGTACGTAGCCACCTGGGGGCAGGTGCATGCCTGGTTGGCTCCCTGGGTGGGGGTGGGGTTCGGTGGGGTGTTCAGCTGACACCCCTGGGTTCACCTGCTGTGGATAGGCCACCCCACCCTAATGCAGGACATCCTGCGGGGAGGCGGGGAGAGGGAAGAAGACAGCCCTGGGGCCTCATGTGGACCCCCAGCTTCCATCCTTCCAACTTTGGTCTTAGGGACCTACTTCATATTAAGCCCCAAACTCTCACAATATGTTCCTTTGTCTGCTCATTCATTCACTCATTTAACAAATATTTTCTAGCATTTCCTATGTATCAGGCATGGTAGCAGGTGCTCAGGAGAGAGAGAGATCACCCTGGCTTTGGGAGCCCTTGGTCTAGAAGGGGACAATGTTGGACAGGCTATCGTGGAGGTGTGACCAGGAGCTCTGAGAGGGGAGGTGGCTACCTCCCGGGGCATCAGGAAGGTCTTCCAGAAGAGAGAGCACTGGAACTATGTCTCGCAGATGGATACAGGCTTTACAGGCAGTGATGGGGACAGGGAGGGGCATTCCAGGTGGAAGGAACAGCATGAGCAAAGACTCAGGCATATCTGAGCAATGACGGAAGAAGGACGATGTGGCAGATGGAGGGAGGTGGTAGGGCTTCCCAGTGTTGTTGGAAACACAATAGAATTGTCAAGAGGCACTGATGTGGAAGTCATGATGGGCAGTTCTGCAACAAGGAAAAACAAATACATATTTTTTAGCAAAGAATTATCAAGGACGCTCTTAGCACTTACTATGTATCAGGCACTGTTCTAAGCTCATTTCATAGTCCCCAAAACCCTATCAGGAAGGTACTATTATTACCATTCCTGTTTTACAAATGAGGAAACTGAGGCACAGGGTGATTAAGTAAACTTGCCTAGTAAGTGGTGGCCGGGGATTTGAACCCAGGCAGTCTGAATTCAGAGTTGGCCTTTCAAGATGGCCGATTAGCCCATGAGGCTGGGAGCGCCACCTTGTGGAGAGCATTTCCATGGTGATTTCCAGGCTTTGGCTGTCTTCCCTCTATAGGCTGTCTACCCCCACAACACAGCAACCCTTTTTGATGCCAAGTTGCTGTTAAGGGTCTTTGCCTTCCTGAAGCCCCTCCGTACCCCCTTGCAGCATGCCAGGCCCAAGGCCTCGGGACCAAGGAAGCCTTCCTGCCCTCAGCCGGCCTCTTTGGGTGGGTGGGTGGGAATCAATGGCCTAATGTTCCAGATGTGCCTTGTGGAGGGGGGAGGGGTTGTGGGAAGCCGGGTGTAGGACTCTGAGCCCTGCTGCCTCCCCCCTACTCCGCCCAGGCTGACCCCTGCCCACAGCAGGAAGGCCCTGCGGAATTCTCGCATCGTTAGCCAGAAGGATGACGTCCACGTGTGCATCATGTGCTTGCGCGCCATCATGAACTACCAGGTTGGTCAGCGAGCGTGAGGCACTGGGGGGCCCCGGGGGAGCTGGGCCCGTCCTCACTGGGGGCTGCCTAAGCCGCTGGGGTTCAGGGACCCACTGTCCCCCCCAGCCCCGACCTTGTTCCCTGCTGGAGAACCCTGGGGATGGGGGCTGTTGAGGGTCTTGAGGACGATGAGGCTTGAGGGGAAGCCCAGATTTCTGCCCCCTCCTGGTCAGGTCCCCTGGAGTACCCTGGACATGACTGGGTCAGGGACATGCCTCCTGTGGGGACCTAGGCACCCCCACCAGGGAAGGCTGAACACAGCGCCCTCAGGGACAGCCGCTCTGGGTGATTCTGTTTGGAGGAGTGGCTGGTGCGGCCAGTCCTCCTTCACTGAGCCGGCTGTTGAGGGCTCACTGTGTCCAAGGTGCCGAATCCTGACCCTGGCTTTCGAACAAAGGTATTTAAAAAGAGGGGCCAGGCTCTGGCCGCCACAGAAAAGGCTGTGGTTGGCTCTGAAGAACTTCCCAAGCCTGAGGGCAGTGGGAGACCAGGAGGCAATGGCCCTGCCCAGTAGTCTGGCAGTCCTGGGGGTCTGCCTGGAGGAGCTGACCTTTCCTCTCTCGCCAGTCTGGCTTCAGCCTCGTCATGACCCACCCAGCCTGTGTCAATGAGATTGCTCTGAGCCTCAACAACAAGAACCCCAGGTGAGGTCCGGGCCCCTCACCTTTCTCCACGTCTAGATTCTCCTGCCACTTCACCCCTGGCTACTCTGCTCCCCCATTCTCAGGACTGCTGACCAGGCTCATCCCACCCCTACTCCCCATCAGCTGCCCTCCCTGCACTCCCAGAGCCAGGCCCACCCGCAGCCTTGCTGTGGGGCCTGCTTTCAAGGGGTAAATTGGCCCTCCTGTCCCCAGAACCAAGGCTCTGGTGCTGGAGCTGCTGGCGGCCGTGTGCCTGGTTCGAGGAGGGCATGACATCATCCTGGCGGCCTTTGACAACTTCAAGGAGGTACTGAAGCCCCCCCACCCCAACAGGTGCTTGCTCTCTGGGGTTGCTTGGAGTCCTGTGGCTGGCAGTTGTGGCCTCCGCTGGGGGCAGCTGGGAGTGTTGGGCAGGCATTTGGGGAGCACAGGGTGGGGATAATCTGGGATGGGGAAGCTTTAAAGGGCAGGAGCCAGGTCACGTAGGGGCACTGCCTGGGGCGATAAGGACATCTACGGGGATCTGCTGAACGTCTGACCCTCAGCCTGGCCAGATCCAAACTGGGCTTGGTCCATGCGTCTCCGGGTTGCATACATACGCCTCTGCTGACTCTGGCTAAGTGGATGCATGAGAATATGATGCATAAGGTGGGGTACGGTCATTCATTCCCTTAATGACTATTTGTTGAGTGCCTACTATGTGTCAGGCATAGAGTGGACACTTGGGATGCATCAGTGAGCAAAAGAAACAAAGAAGGCAGGGGAGGACAGATAATAAACAATATACTAAATGAGCAGATTATATAATGTATCTGAAAACTGTGGACACTCTGAGGAACAAGAGCAGGCTGCCAGAGGGGCAGGAGGAACGGGTCGCAGGGTGGACAGGGAGGCCTCCCGGAGATGGTGAAGCTTGAGCAAAGCTGTGAGGGAAGTGAGAGGCTTGGTGTGGTGGCGATCTCGAGTAAGAGCACACCAGGCGCACGGAACTGCAGGTGCAAAGGCCCTGAGGTGGGAAGGTGCTAGGACACCAGTGTGGCCAGTGCAGTAAGTGAAGGGAGGGCTGGGGGAGATGGAGAGGGAGGGGAGGTTTTGAGCAGAAGAGCGACGTGGCCTGACTTCGATTTAGTGGGGAGGAGCCCGTAGAAAGACAAGGGTGGTGGCTGGAAATGGCTTGGGAGGTGTGTCACTGGGGCCCTCATGACAGCCATTCTCCCCACCCAGGTGTGTGGGGAGCAGCACCGCTTCGAAAAGCTGATGGAATATTTCCAGAAAGAGGACAGCAACATTGACTTCATGGTGAGCTCGGGAGCCCAGGCCGGGCCTGGCCACCCTGGCCACCCTCGGTGTGAGGAGCAGCCTGGGGGCCGGGGTCTCCGGCTTCTGGGCTCTGCTCCTGTGAAGTATGAGGACTGAGTGGCTGGTCGGGGAAGGGTGGATGTCAGAGACAGGGAAGCTGGAGGGAGGGGACCTGGGGGAGAAATACGGGTAGGGCCAAAGCTGGGTTCGCTGAGTGAGAAATGGGGAAAAGGAGAGACTTGGGAGTAAATGGGGGGACAGAAGGCACTGAGCACCCCCACCCGGAGGGTCACAGCCCTGCTTGTGGGCTCTGCTTCCCAGGTGGCCTGCATGCAGTTCATCAACATCGTGGTCCACTCCGTGGAGAACATGAACTTCCGTGTCTTCCTGCAATATGAGTTCACGCACCTGGGCCTGGACTTGTACTTGGAGGTGAGCCGTGCATCCCCCCGCTGGGACTTAACCACTCACCAACTGCAGAGTGTGGCTCTGTGCTTAGCAGCGTGGGTGTTGAGGTCAGGCAGATCTGGTTCAAATCCCGACTCTGCCCCTTCCAAGCCCATGTGACTTTGGATAGGTTTCTTCTTCTCTTGGAGTCTCATTTTTCCCATCTGTGAAACAAGAGAATCATAAAGGTAATAATGACTCTCAGTAGAATGAGGCAGAACGTTTTCTGCCACCTTATAGGCACGTGGTCCATGGAGCTATTATCACAGGCACCGGAACAGGCTCTGGGTGGCCCTGGGTCTGTCTGGCTTTGGGAGCATCAGCGTCAGACAGGTTCTGACTGAAGCGCATAATGGGGAGCATGGAGATATTGGGCCACAGTGGGAGCTGGCTCATGTTGGATGCGTCCAGGTCCTAGAGGAGTTCCTTGCCCTGGGGACGGTAGGCAGAGGGGCTTGGCGCTTCCTGGTCCAGCCTGTGCAGAGAAGCTGCAGGTTCCCCGATTCCTTTGGGAGGCTTCTTGGAGGAGCAGGGCCTTTGGGATTGGATTTCTGAAAGCCAAAAGGTGAAAAGCTGGTGGGGGTGATATATCCATGCAGGGGAATATTATTCAGCCCTGTAAGGGAATGAAGTACTGATACATGCTACCACATGGAGGAACCTTAAAAGCATTATGCTAAGTGAAAGAAGCCAGACACAAAAGCCCCAAAACTGTATGATTCCTTTATATGAACGTCCAGAAGAGATAAATCCACAGGGGCAGAAGGTCGATTGGCAGTTGCCAGCGGTCGGGGGAGGAGCGAATAGGGACTGACTGCGAACAGGTACAGGGGTTCTTCTGGGGTGATGAAAATGTTCTGGAATTAGACAGTGGTGATGTTTGCACAACCCTGTGAATATACGAAAAACTACTGAATTCTATGCTTTAAAATAATGAATTTTATGGTATGTCAATTATATCTCAATAATAATAATGAAAAAGCACGCTGGGGCTCAGGCCCCTCCCTCTAGGCCCTAGGGGTGAGGGGGGGTCCTGGAAAGACCCCTCAGCTCCGGCCTCACCCTGCTCTTTCCGTCCGGGGCAGAGGCTGCGGCTCACCGAGAGTGACAAGCTGCAGGTGCAGATTCAAGCATACTTGGACAACGTTTTCGACGTGGGTGCGCTGCTGGAGGATACGGAGACCAAGAACGCGGTGCTGGAGCACATGGAGGAGCTGCAGGAGCAGGCGGCCCTGGTGAGAGCCGCTCCCCAACTCGGCCCAGCCCATAGGAGGCCCCCGGGGCCTCGCACCGGCATCAGGCATTAGTTCTGGGTATGAGTAGCGGGTGGCTGTCTGCCTGGCCCCTGACTTGGACCTGAATCCAAATCTCGAATCCTGTGGCCTCTTTCTCAGTGAGCCTTCACTGGGCTCCTACCCTGCGGGACCTCCGAGGAAGGCAGGCCGCTCCTCTCCCGGCGCTCGGAGCCCACACCCTGGCTTGGGTGGAACTGGGTGCCTGGCGCCCGTCCTGGCCCAGTCTCTCTCCACCCACCTCCCTCCTCAGGGGTGCCTTGGTTCCTCCTCCCGGGAGAATGTTAGTGCCCTCAGGATCTCACCTACTTGGGTTCAAGTGCCAGGCTCAGCCCACCCGCTAGGCACGTCCGGAAGCCTCCCCCAGCCCTGCAGGCAGGCGTGCCTGCTGCCACCCCCTCAGTGCCCAGCGGCGGGTGGGGGCTCACCATGAGCTGTGCCACAGCTGACAGAGAAGCTTCGGGACGCGGAGAACGAATCCATGGCCAAGATCGCCGAGCTGGAAAAGCAGCTAAGCCAGGCTCGAAAGGAGTTGGAGACCCTGCGGGTGAGGCTGGGGGCTGAGGGGGCCGGGCCAGGGCCGGGCCAGGCTCGCAAGACCCGGCCCGGTGGGGCTTCTAGGCTTGACACTTCCTCTACTCGGGCAAGAGGGTGGGGGCTCTGTGCCGGGCCTGCTGGAGGCACTGACCTCCCCCCCCCCCCCCCCGCCCCGGGGCTCACAGGAGCGCTTCAGCGAGTCGACCCCCATGGGCGCCTCCAGGCGTCCTCCTGAGCCTGAGAAAGCGCCTACCTCCGTCCCGGCGGCGCGGCCCTCGGCGCTCGAGCTGAAGGTGGAGGAGCTGCAGGAGAAGGGGTTAATCCGTATCGTGCGGGGGCCAGGGGATGCTGTCTCCATCGAGATCCTTCCGGTCGCTGTGGCAACTCCGAGCGGCAGTGACGCCCCGACTCCCCCCGGAGTGCCCACCGGCTCACCCAGCCCAGGTGCGCAGGAGCTTCGGGCTGGGTGCGGTGGGCGTGGGGGAATCGGGGTCTGGAAGGAGAGTGGGGAGACGTGGGTTCGGGGTTGTGGGCGTGGCTCAGGTGGTTGCGGGAGGGTAGACGGGGACCCAGTGCGCATGCGTAGGGAGGGGAGGCAGAGGCCAGAGCACCGAGGTCCAGAACTTGATACGCCCCTCCTTCTTCCCGTCTTGGGTTCTCGGTTCTCTCTCGGCTCAGAACTCCCACCTGCGGCAGAGCCGGCTCCCAGAGCAGCACCCCCACCGCCGCCTCCACCACCTCCACTTCCCGGCCTCCCCGACCAGCAGGAAGCCCCGCCTTCGGCACCCCCACTGTCCTCACCCCTCCCTGGCAGCTCCGAGCCCCCGCCCCCGCCGCCGCTGCCGGGAGACTTGCCGCCCCCACCCCCGCCCCCACCGCCGCCTCCCGGCACAGATGGACCCGTGCCTCCGCCGCCTCCAGGGGGTCCCTCTGGAGGGTCCGGCCCTGAGATGGGCCCAGGTGAGTGGACCGCCCAGGGCTGGGGTCAGATATGGAGGTGCCCGGACCTCAGTGTCCTCCAGGACCTTGTGTACGGGGGCCTCCTATTTCCTTCTGCCTGTCCTGTCAGGCCTCTCTGGGCCCTGGGTCCCGCCAACGACCCCACCCTCACCTCCCCAGTGCTCACCACTCTCTCCCTGTCCCAGGAGTGAAGGCCAAGAAACCCATACAGACCAAGTTCAGAATGCCACTCTTAAACTGGGTAGCCCTGAAACCCAACCAGATCACGGGCACTGTCTTCACTGAGCTCAATGACGAGAAGGTGCTGCAGGTGAGTGTGGCCCTGTCTTGCTTCCAGTGTGGGCGCCAGGGGAGAGGGGACTTGCCTGGATCATGCTAGGGCATCTCCTTCACCCTATTGTATGGATGAGGGCATGGAGGCCCAGGGATGGGTGTTAAACTACGTGGATTGTTAAGATACATGGATTAGTGTATCTGATAGGCAGTATGTCCTGACTCCCCTGGAGGCTTTCCCCTCACTCATTGTAGAGGGCACATCTGGCCTCCCGTCTGGCCTCTCCTCCTTTTAAGCTTCTTTCCCACCACCCCCACAGGCAACCAGGGTTTCAACCCCTTTTTTTTTTTTTTTTTTTTTTTTTAAGAGGGAGTAGGGTGGAGTGCAGGGGTGGGGCAGAGGAAGAGGGGGAGAGAGAGTCCCAAGCAAACTCCAAGCTCAGCGAGGAGCCCAATGTGGGGCTCAGTCTCACAACCATGAGATCATGACCTGAGCCAAAATCAAGAGTCAGATGCTCAACCAACGGAGACACCCAGGCACCTCCAGCCCTTCTAATTCTACTTTTAGTTTTCCAAAAGGAATGTGTTCTCTTGCTTCCAGGCCATTGCTCATGCTGTTCCTTCTGCCTGGAATGCCCTTCCCTTTCCCCTTTTTACCCCCGGCCAATTCAGCTTTTCCTTCAGCTGTAAGGGCTTGGAGTCTGGGTCCCCAGTGTTGGGTACTGCTCTTCCTCCTCGATGCTCTCTGTACTTTCCCTATATCCCCCATCAGGGCTTGTGGTCAAGCCGGGTTACTGGTTTGTTTCTCTGCTGGTGGTGTGGTCAGAGCTGGATAGCTGGTTCAGCCAGGAATATATCAGACCCCAGCCCGCCCAGCCCCACCTCCTCTCCCTGTGCCCTCAGGAGCTAGACATGAGTGACTTTGAGGAGCAGTTCAAGACTAAGTCCCAAGGTCCCAGCCTGGACCTCAGTGCTCTCAAGGGTAAGGCAGCCCAGAAGGCCCCCAGCAAGGCCACCCTCATCGAGGCCAACCGGGCCAAGAACCTGGCGATCACCTTGCGCAAGGGCAACCTGGGGGCTGACCGCATCTGCCAGGCCATTGAGACGTGAGTACCTCTGCCCTGTACTTGTGAGTAGCCCAGCCCCTCTACTAGGCCAGGGTCATCAGGCATCTGGTAAAAGAGTCCCAACTACTTCATGCTAACCCTGGTCAGGGAGTAGGGCTGGGAACCTTGTTCCCATTTTCAGGCCAAGAAAACTGAGGCCATAGTGTGAGTCCACGCCCAGACTGAGACATTCCCGTTTCCTCCCTGCTTCCTTGCCCAGCTGTGGGCACTCAGGCCCAGGCATTTACAGCTGGGCCTCTGGCACTGATGTATGATAGGGACCTCTGGCTTCCCAGCTCCCAACTTCCCTGACTCCTACCTCTTGGTCCCTGAAGCTATTGGCAAAGAGCAAATACTGAAGTTCATTTATTCAATCGAGGTAGTGGGGTGGGGGTATAGTCCTGCCCTCGAGAACTGGTGGGTATAGAGCGATAACTACCCCACCTTCCACCAGGTACGACCTACAGGCCCTTGGCCTGGACTTCCTGGAGCTGCTGACCCGCTTCCTGCCCACGGAGTACGAGCGTAGCCTGATCGCCCGCTTCGAGCAGGAGCAGCGACCCATGGAGGAGCTGTCGGAGGAGGACCGCTTCATGCTCCGCTTCAACCGCATCCCGCGCCTGCCCGAGCGCATGGCCACGCTCACCTTCCTGGGCAACTTTCCGGATACTGTCCAGCTGCTGATGCCGGTGTGGGCGGGGCAGGCAGAGCGGTGTGGGCGGGGCAGGGCGGTGTGGGCGGGGCAGGCAGGGCGCCGTGTTCTGGGTTGGGCATGCGAGGCGGCAGCTAGCAGCCTCCGCGGGGAGAGGGCATGTAGGAGTACTTGAGCCTCCCATGGGCTTGCCCCCCACCCTGCCCCAACTTATCTTGCCTCTCCAATTGCACCCCCAGCAACTGAATGCCATAATTGCAGCCTCAATGTCCATCAAGTCCTCTGACAAACTCCGCCAGATCCTGGAGGTGAGAGCCCGGGGCAAGGGCCTGGGAAGTGGGGCCCACTCATGACTCCTCGCCTGTTCTGGGTCGTGTGAGGGGGAGACCCCGGCCTTGCCCTGCATTCCTAGGATGCAACAGATATGTTCCCAACTCTCACATGGAAAGACAAAGCTAAGACAGGGTGGAGGTCCTGTCTACAACAGTGCGCCTTAGACTCCTCCTGAGGGCTGAGCCCCCTCGGGATCACTGTGTGATTAGCAGAGCGCCCACACCTGCTCAGTGGAGTCTAGTGGAGGTCCCGGGAGCCAGTAGAAATGGCTGTTAGATAGACGGTGACATCACAGCCGAGGGGATGTCAGCCACGCAGTTCTGGGTGGGAACAGCAGAGGGCAACACTGGGTATGCTAGGGGGCACCTGGCTGGCTCAGTCGATTGAGTATTATAAGACTTTTTTTTTCAGTTTATAATTATTTATTTAAGAAATCTCTACACTACACCAAATGTGGGACTCGAACTCATGACCCTAAGATCAAGAGTCGCATGTTCCTCCAGCTGAGCCAGCCAGGCGCCCCAAGCATGTGACTCTTGATCTCGGGGTTGTGGGTTCGAGCCCCACGTTGGGTGTGGACATTACTTAAAAATAAAATCTTAGGGCTCCTGGGTGGCTCAGTTGGTTAAGCGACTGCCTTCGGCTCAGGTCATGATCCTGGAGTCCCTGGATCGAGTCCCGCATCGGGCTCCCTGCTCGGCAGGGAGTCTGCTTCTCCCTCTGACCCTCCCTCCTCTCATGTGCTCTCTCTCTCTCATTCTCTCTGTCTCAAATAAATAAATAAAATCTTTAAAAAATAAAAAAAATAAAAAAAATAAAATAAAATCTTAAAAACATTGGGGAGGCCAGGCACGTATGTCAGACAGCTACAAACGCGTGTACATGGTCATGGACCTGAGGGGCCGGCGCAGGAGTCTAGTGCGGGCTGAGCGTGTGGGGCTTGCTTTTCACCACATTTTCTTGTGTAGTTTATACTTGAGGGGGTTCCCTCAGCCCCAGCACCTGCTGAGCATCCCCCTCCCCCCCAGATTGTCCTGGCCTTTGGCAACTACATGAACAGCAGCAAGCGTGGGGCAGCCTATGGCTTCCGGCTCCAGAGCCTGGATGTGGTGAGGAGCACAAGGAGGGGTTCCCTGGCCTGGGGGATGGGGGACAGCGGTGGCCTGCGGCTGACAACAGGCCTGCATGCAGCTGCTGGAGATGAAGTCGACTGACCGCAAGCAGACGCTGTTGCACTACCTGGTGAAGGTCATTGCCGAGAAGTACCCACAGCTCACAGGCTTCCACAGCGACCTGCACTTCTTGGACAAGGCAGGCTCAGGTATTGGTGCAGGTACTCCCTCCTGGGCGGGGAGGGGCTCTGCCCTGGGGGCTGATAGGGGTTGAGAAAAAGTGAGGGGACCACAGGATGTCATTGGACGGGAATGCCACCTCTCTGATTCCCTGCCTCTGTGCTGCCCACCCCCCCCAGTGTCCTTGGACAGCATCCTAGGGGATGTGCGCTCCCTGCAGCGAGGCCTGGAGTTGACCCAGCGAGAGTTTGTGCGGCAGGACGACTGCATGGTGCTCAAGGAGTTCCTGAGGTCCAACTCGCCCACCATGGATAAACTGCTGGCAGACAGCAAGACCGCTCAGGTGGGCCGGGGCTGGCCGGGCCCTGGAGATGGGGTGGTGGTGGTGGTGGGGGGGGATGAAATGGGGGAGGGGGCAGGGGGCCCACCTGCCTGGAGGAGCAGAGATGAAGTGGCCAGTGTCTTAAAGGCACATGGAGCTCCTAGGGGTTGTGCTGGTGGGGCTGACAGGCTGTGCCCACAGGAGGCCTACGAGTCCGTGGTGGAGTACTTCGGAGAGAACCCCAAGACCACGTCCCCCTCCATGTTCTTTTCCCTCTTTAGCCGCTTCATCAAGGCCTACAAGGTATGTGTGTCTGGTGGGCAGGCTGGGACCCCTGCGGGGCATTTTGGCCTCTCCACCTGGGCAGTGTGGAGGGTGGGGGACGCTTCTGTCTGGGGGTAGGATAAGACTCCCCTCACGGAGACCCACCTTGGCCCCCCAGAAAGCTGAACAGGAGGTGGAACAGTGGAAGAAGGAGACAGTAACCCAGGAGGCAGGTGCCGACGCCCCCGGCAAAGAAGAAGCCCCAGCACCCAAGGTAGGCAGCTGCGCCTGAGCTTGGCACTTTGCAGGGATCCTCATCCCAAAGATCTGGCCCTCTTCCGTACCCTCATTTCTGTGAACAGACCCTGCCCAAGGTGAGGACGGTGCCCCAGCAGCCTGGGATGGATGGGAAGGGCTTCCTCCTGCTCCAGCCTGCTGTGGGGGACCAGGCAGACAGATGTTCTAGGGTCTGGTGGCCTGGGGAGAGGGGATCCTGGAGTTGGAGCTACTCACCTTCCATGCCCTACCCCCCCCATCACCACCCAAGGCCCGGAGGCAGCAGATGGACCTCATCTCCGAGCTGAAGCGGAAGCAGCAGAAGGAGCCACTTATCTATGAGAGTGACCGCGACGGGGCCATTGAAGATATCATCACAGGTGAGGCTTTGGCTGGGCCTGTCCTATCCTCTCTCCGTCCTTCTAATGCTGTCCTCCTCCCTCTCCCCACTCTAGGGGTCTGGCTGTCTCACTGCTTCTTGCTACTTTTTCTGTCTTTTTTCCTTTCTCTCCCCCCTCCTCCCTCCCAACCCTCAGTGCTCAAGACGGTGCCCTTCACGGCCCGCACTGGCAAGCGGACGTCCAGGCTCCTCTGTGAGGCCAGCCTGGGAGAAGAGATCCCTCTCTAGCCCCCAGGTACCTGGGTAGCCTGGCCTGTGATCCCAGAAGCTGCCCACAACCCTGGGGGCCCCTTGGGGGACTGGATCATGCTACCCTCCCTTGGGCCATGCGTGGCTGGGGTGTGCTTGAGCGGGGTCTGGTAAACATAGGTCCCTCCCCACATGCACACCACCTGGGTCCCTACAATGGGGAGGCAGACTCCTAGCCCCGGGGCAGACTTCAGAAGGTAAGTGTCTCTCCTCTTGGCTGCCAGATCTGCGGAACCAGCCCTACATCCGTGCAGACACAGGCCGCAGAAGTGCTCGTCGGCGCCCCCCGGGACCCCCCATGCAGGTCACCTCGGACCTCTCGCTGTAACCGCTCTTTCTGGCAGATGGACTCAGTGGGGAGTGGGGGGTGGTGGCAAGCCGGGGCTCAGGGGCTCAAGGAAGGTGGTCCTCAGCTCGGCTGGGCCGGGCAGCCCCCTCTGCTGCTGCCGCCGTTCTCCGAGATGGTCCCACCTCAAGTGGTCGGGCGCGGGGGCGTGGGGGGGACAGCATCGCCGGCCCCTCCCCCAAATGCTGCGTGCAGCACCCCTCTCCCCCTAATAGCCATACTTAGCCTCAGCCGGAGCCTGGCCTGTAACTTATAAAGTGCAACCTCGCGCTCCACCCCCAGCTCCGGGAACTCTCCATAACCTTATTTTTATACAAGATTAATAAAGATGTTTGCAAAAGATCCGCGTCCGCTCTGTGCCCCGCCCCACCACACGCAACCCGTTTTGCTCCGCAAACGCTTTACTTTTTCATAGCAGGTTTCTGCACACAGGCTGGCGAAGGGGAGAAGGGCTGCTTCTGCACTAGAGTTGGGGGGGAGGGAGTCATCTTCGCGGGGCGCAGATAGTCTAGTGGCTGGCCCACGAACTCTGTGGGAGGGCAGAGGGGGCGTGCGGAGGATCAAGCCGGCAGCTCCCGTTTAGAGACTCTGGATTAGCCCCACCTCAGTCCTCCTTTCTACCCGCCCCGCCCCATTTCCGCCTCCTATCTGGGTACCTGCCCCTTTTTCTTAGGCTCCGTCCTAGCCTTGGTCAAGCCCTGCGTGATCCCAGATTACTTCGCCGGCCTCCTCCGGGTTTCCCGGAGTCCGGCTCCCACTCTTCGCCGGCCCCGCCCCCGCCCCGCCCCAGCCCCGCCCCAGCCCCGCCCCCTCCCTCTGCTCTCACCCGGGCTGAGAGACCTCCGGGTGGGCGCGAGCTTGTGGCGGCTGGAGTGGCAGGACTTGGGAAGTCGGACGTCGGGGCGCGGGGCTCGGGGCCGCATCCAGTCTTCTGGGGGTGTCCGCCCCGCCAAGTTAGGTATCTGAGAGTAGGGGCTGCGCGCACCTGGCCCGGGGAAAGCGGCGGGGCGGGGGGGGAGGAGGAAAAGGAGAGGCTAGTCCTGACAGCAGGTCCCGAGGGAGGGTCCCCCCTCGGCGGGTCCCCGCCTGGCCCGGGGCGCACCCGCTTTGTGCAGTCTGTGCAGCGAGCGCTCCAGCTCGGCGCCGGAGAGGCCGCTGAGGCGCGCGGCCTGGCAGAAGAAGGTGAGGCCGGCGTGAGTGCGCACGGTGACAGTGTGGCCGCGGGAGCGGCCCCTCCAGCCCGGGTTCAGCCGCAGAGCCCGCTGCTTCTTGGTGTAGTAGCTTGAGGGGACAGGTGGGGGGCAGCCTCGTCAGACACCGCCTCCCCCAGTCCTCTCCATCTCACAGGACAGGAAGCCACAGGAAACTGCCCCAGAATTCAGGGCTCCCGTCTCCCTCAGGGGATCCCTGCACGGGGCAGCATCTGCTCCCCCATCCTGGGTCCTGAAGCTGGGGACATGGGCCTACCTCATCACTTCCTGCACCACCTTGCGGGGCAAGAAGCCTTGGCTCATCAACTTGAACAGCATCTCTAAGAACAGGGTTTGCAGGCCCTGGGGGTCACAGAACCGGCTGTTCCTCACCTGGCCTGGGGGCAGAGATCATGGGGGAGTGTGAGGAGGAGCCTCCCCCAGTCCTGGCCGTTCCCACCCCACCAGCCTTGCCCCTCACCCAGGCACTGAGCCAGGCGGTGGCTGTCAGTAAGGACACCCAGGAAGTCTTTGAAGCTTACAGTTCCGTCACCTGGGAAGAGAGAGAGGAGGGGGTGCTGTGGGGGCCTCCCCTGCAGAAGGCCCACCCTGCATATGCTTTAGGGGTGTCTTTGCATCTCCTTCCAGACATTAGAGAATCCAGTCTCCCCTCCAGCCAAATGTCAACCCCAGTGGAATGGGGGAGAAATAGCCCTTGCCCTTGGGGATCCCCAAATCAGGATGATTAACACAGCAAAAATTTTTAGGGGCTACGGGATAGGTGTGTTGATCAGAGCAGGATTCCTGGAAGAGGGAACTTTAAAATAGGACCAGGCCGGGGATTCTGTGGGCAAAGGAGACACTGTCCAGGGCTAGAAGTGAGGAAGGACAAGAGGCCAGGGATGGGAGCACCCACCATCCAAGTCTGCCTGCTGCAGAGCCTCACACATCTCCTGTGGGCTCAGCTGGATGCCCACATTGCGCAGGGCGGCTTTCATGCTGCGCATGTCCACAGTGCCTGTCGGGCTGGAGCTGAACAGTTTGAAGATCTCCTGGAAGGCTGCGGGCAGGGAGGGAGGCAGGCAGCAAGGTGAACCACACACAAGGGCCCGGAGATCTGCCCACTCTAGCTCAGAACGGTCCTGAAGACTTGGGTCACTCCCACTGCTGGGGCATTATGACATTGAAAGAACACCACTGGCTACTGTGTGTTGGCACTTGTCAAGTCCCCATTCAAGTCTCATGTTTGGACATGTTTGTATGAAAAGACATTCAACACTTAATGTCCAAGGTCCCACCACCAGTAGACTGGGCAGTGTTGGGCTCTGGACTCGGGCTCTGGAGCTGCAGTGCTCTGAGGCTCCTGGAGCCCTGCTGGCACCTGGCGGGGAGCAGGCCCTGAAGATTACTGGTGGTGAGTGAAATGGCTGCTTTGAGAGGCCCCCGCCAGGGGTACCGTGGCTTTGGGGCCCTCAAATGTAGACCCAACAGCCCCAGATTCCGGGGGGGGCGGGGAACTCAGATTATTTTTCCCCATCCTCTCTCCCAATTTCCTTCCTTCCTTCCTCTTTCATCTTTCATGTGTTCTGTCCATCCATCCATCCATCCATCCATCCATCCATCCATCCATCTCTCTCTCTCTCTCACACACACACACACACACACACACACACACACATATCAGTGAGCCCTGGAACTGTAAAGATTAGCCAGTTAGACTGCCACTGGGGACAGTTACAATACGATCACCAACTTCTCACAATGACCCCAGTCTCTGGGGAGGTGGCCCTGTGCTGTTCCTCTCCTCCTCCCCCGCTCCCAGCCCGGGGCCCTCACCCGCCAGCAGCCGGGCTGTCAGGGGCAGCAGATTCTCGTCCGCAGAGCTGCTTCAGGAGGAAGAGGGTGGAAAGGACTTTGCACCTGCTGCACAGAGATGCCAGGGCCAGGCAGGCCTTACCCCTAACCCCGCGCCTCTGGCCTGGTCTCCGGTCCCTGCCCTTACCTCTGAGACCTGGAGCCTGACTGCACTGAGCTGGCAGCTGCAAGGCACTTGAACTCCCTGGGCCTTCGGGAGCCCTGCTCAGCCCCTATGGCCTTGACGGGTGCTGGCTCCCTCTGGGGCAGCGGGGCAGTGGGCTGCCGAGGACTCCCCTTCTGCACATCGCAGCGCCGCTGCTCTCCTGGGTCCCGTGCGGGCAGTCTTCCAGGCTGCCGTGGAGGCCTTGGAAGCAGGGAGAAGACAGGGCTGGGGGCCCTGTCCACCCGAGTGCTCAGACTCTCCGGGGTGAGGCGGGGGAGGGGGGCTGAGACCAGGCCCTGTGGGGGAGCAGGCTCAGCTCTACCTTCTCCCAGGACCCCCACACCAGCCTGCACCTATGGTCCCCATCCAGGGGATTCTTCGGGCAGTAGCAGCAGACCCTTCACTAGCCCTGGTTACCTGAACGTTCCCTGTGCCGACGACGGGGATCTCTTGGTCTTCTGTCTTCGGCTGCCTGAAAGGCAGAGTCACAGGCTCTGAGGCTGGCTTTGGGGTGGACTTCAGCGGCTTTTGGCAGGAGGGCACTCTGTCCCTTGCCACAGGCCTGCTTCTGTTTGCGGGGGGCGGGGGGGGACCTGCGGCTTTACTCTTTTGAGTTTCTGCTCCCCTTAAGGTATCCGAATTTGTGACTCCACTCCAGAAGCTCACACAGGCTGGCAGAGGCCCAGGGAGAAGCAGGCCTTAGAGTCCCGAAGTCAGGGCATGGGAAGGAGGGGTCCAGCCCAAGGTGGGGCTGTGGCCCACCCCCACCTTCCCCCAGGTCCCCTGGGAGGGAAGGACCTCCTCTTCCAAACCATGCAAACTTGCAAACCACAGTTCACAAAATACTCCAGGAAGAAGCACCCCGACACCCCAGCCTCTTCCCAGATACTCACCTCTGCATCTCCTTCTCCTTCCTCTTTCCAGTCTCCTGTCCTCCATTTCCCTCTGCCCCCCCCACTCTGGCCCTGGCCCATTCCCAAGTGTTCACCCCTTCCTAATCCCACCCTCCTAGGCCCTGGGCACTTCCCTCCTCGGCCCCCTCTCAAGGCAGGGCAGGCTCCTGAGGATCTGCAAGGCTGGGCTTTCACCTGCTGGGGAGCCTTGGTGCTGGTGGGGCTGGAGGCTGACCAGGGCCCAAGCCATGGCTCTGCCTCTCGCTTCCCTTTCTCCCCGACTTCCCTTTTCCCGCCCGTGTTCTTACCCACATTCTGAACTCCCTTCCCTCCTTTGCAGTGAGCTCTCCTCTTCCAGAGCTTTCCCTCATTGCCCAACGTCGTGGGGAGGCTTGTGCATTCGTGCGCGTGTTTAGTGCACGTGTCTGGCTCGCAGGCCTGTGTGTTGATGTGTGCTTGTGCACACGGCCCGTGTGGCACGGTCTGTGGGTGGATGTCTGCGCGTGCCTGTGTGATGTACGAGTCAGCGGATGGTGTGTGTGCGCGCGCGTGAGTCTGGGTTGCTCAGCAAAGTACACCATTACATACTCGTGCTACATTCTGAGATACTTCCAGCTCAAGGCTGTGGCCCCTGGAGGGGCAGTCCTTTGGCATCTTTCTTCCCCTCCCTTGAGCCCCCGGACACCGTCCCTTCCCCATGCCAGGCCCTCGCTGTGGACAGAAGCAGGAAGAATTCCTTTCAGCCTTGCCTCCTCACCTGGCCAGCCCACCCCAGGAGGTCCTCTCCTAAGAAGATCCCAACATGTCCCTGGCTTCAGGCCAAGAGGAAGCCCCACTTCATGACCTAAGACACCCGTAAGCCTCAGAGAGGGCACCAAGGCCTCCCCAAGACGGCTCATGAGTCTCTGCCGCTGGCTGAGAGGGCTGGAAGGTGGGAGCAAAGTGGAAGGACCCCTGGGGAGTGAGGAGGGGCCAAATAGGGCTGGCAGAGCCCTCTGGGACAGGCGGGGGCAGCTCAAAAATGGGGGTGTGTGGAAACGAGTACTACACGATGTGTTAACTAACTAGAATTTACATAAAGTCTTGAAAGAAAAAAACCATGGGGCTGGCGTCCCTAAAAAATCAAGACCGGGACTCCACAGCCAGGTGAGCTCGCTAGTCCGGGAGCGTTTGCACAAAAAGTCTGAGCCGGGGGCCAGCACTGGAGGCTTTACTGGTTTTGTCTAGTCATTTCTCTGGGGAAGTGGGGGACGACACCTTAAAATGGATTTTCAGCAATAATGGACTCCCTTTCCCGGTTCTCGGCACCGAGCTGCAACGCAAAAGAGAGAGTGTCACTTGGGCCCCCGTGGCAGGGTCGGGGAGAGGGGTGAGCCCAGAGGCCTCTGCGGGGAGGGCCCCGGGGGGGGAAGAGGGCCTCTTCCTGCTGCATGCTGATGGGCAGCTGGCCTTCTGTTGTGTCCATTCATCATCAGGAAGCAAGGGGTGCTGGAGAACCCTGTTCCCTCACATTCGGCTCCATGGAAGCGTCCTGGGCCCAGGGCCATCAAATTCTCAGCGGGGCAGATGCGAGGCTGAGCTTTTCCCATGAGGGTGAGGCCATCTGCCCTCTGGGTGACCGAGCGTCCTAATGCTAGAATGGCCCTGCCCATGTCGAACCCAGGTCCTTGCTGGGGCCCAGAAGTGCTCACCTTCCATGGTCCCCAGGCCTCCTCCAGCCCTGGCCTTGGCACTGTGCCTCAGTCCACAGGAACCTTGTTTCCAGCAGTCTTTATGAGGTCACTGAGGTTGAGACATCACGGCCCACCCCATCCCCTACCCAGGCCCTCATTCCATTTCCCCATCCCTACCCAGCTGTGTGAGGAGTGGGCCCACCCACACATCCTAAGCACACCCCCTCTTCGGGAAGCTGTGGGCCAGCCTCACTTACCCTTTCACGACTCCTTTAGGTGAAGGGGACCTGGCCTGTTGCTGGAGAAGCTTCACTTCTCCTTCAAAGCTGGCCCTCTTGATCCCTGGCTTGCTGAAGCCGAGGTAAGGGTGGAAGAAGTTCTTGTCTTCCTGCTTCCAAGCTTTCTGTGACTCCTCGGCTTTAAGTGGTTTCTCTAGCAAGTCCTTAATGAGCTTTTCCTTCTCTGGCTGGTCCATGGCCAGCTGGATATCGGGATCTGTAGAAGGTGCCTCGACCTTCTGAGGTGGAGCTTTGATCATATGCTCCAAGTTGGGCAAGTCCATCTTGCTGGAGGAGGCCACGGCCAAGGAAGAGGCAAAGTTGACCAGATCTGCCAGGCCGATGCCTGGTGAGAGACTGGAGGAGGATGGGTGGGGGCTTGGGGGCTGCTGGGAGTCGGTGGTGGGCGGAGCTGGCTGGGCACTGGGGTTCTGGAGCTGCTTCTTGGAGCGCATGGTGTCCTTGGGGTCAGACTGCTGGTCCTGACAGCTAGTGGTCTTACCTGTGTTCTTGCCACTCTGCATGTTGATCCCCCGCTCCAGGCTGTGCTCTGAGGCCTGGATGTGTTTGTCCGCCCAGAAGAGGTGCTTAGAGGTCTGCACGCAGATAGAGCGACGGTTGGTGGACGCCTGGTCCTCCTCTACCAAACTCAGGTAGCTAGAATTTGACCTCACGCTCCACTGGCTGACGTCCTGCTGCGTGGGGGGCTGGAGGGACTCTGTCCTAGACTCCGGTTGCTCAGGGTCCTTGGGCTCAGACTCCACCTCCAGCTCCAGTTCTGGCTCCAGGACCAGGTCCACTTTGTGTGGGGGCTCCAGTTCTAGCAATTCTTTCTTCAGCTGGAAAGTTTCAACTGACGCTGAGGAGGCCCCTGGCCCCTGAGGTCCTTCTGGGGCCAATTCTCCATCCCACTCTCCTGCCTTTGTCCCCTCCTCTTGCCTCTTGGCAGAGACCTGCTGGGGGCAGGGAGGCAGTGTGAGGCGGGGGTGAGCATGGGTGTCCATGAGCACCCCAGCACTGGCCGGGTGCAGGCTCCCAGGATTGTCAAGGATTTAAGGAAGACAGGCCTTAAGGAATCCTGCCCCCTACCTACCACCTCCCCCGAAGAGGTGCCCCTGCCCACTGTTACCTCGATCTCATCTTCCTCTGGTACCAGCTGGTGTTGGCTTAGGCCACTCCTATGACAAAAGGGGACAGAATGGATGAAAGGCCTCCAGGGAGTGGGTGGGGTGGCTTTCAGGGGGAATGGAGGTCTCTGGGGCCTCAAGATTCCCTCCCTTGGACAGGGGCCGGCAAGACGCCCCCGGCCAATCCACTCCCCTCGCTGTCCCTGCATCCACCAAGAATTCTGGAGCAGCATTTCCAATCTTTAGTGAGTTTAGGAGGTGCCTGGAGAGCTTGCCAAGTTGCCCCCTACCCCAAAGAGGGATCCGTTAGTTGGAGGTAAGGCCCAGGATTCTTCATTCTAATCAATGAGCCAATGCAGCTCACTTGGAGAACGAGTGCCCAGAAGTTGGCTCCGCACAGAGGGAGAAGCCCAGGGCAAAATCCCTCCTCCTGACCTGCCCAACCCCAGCTTGGCAGATCTGAAAGGCAGGGGTGTGTGTGGAGGGTCCTGTCAGTTCTTGTTGGCACTTTGCTGCCATCTGGGCCCTTACCCTCAGTGCTCAGCCACTGCGACTCCCTGTCCTTCCTCAGGCATCTGCCCCCCGCCTCCACCTCGGTCGCTCTGTGCCCGAGCAAGGCAGCTAGAAGGGCTCAGTTCCCATTCATGTCTCTGAGTGCACCCCGCCACCCCTCAGTCCTTCACTAATGTCAGGGGCTGGAGGTAGAAGTAGAAGGCGGGTGGTAGGAATCCTTCCCCCCACCCCGCCCACAACACTGCCCTTGGGGAGATTTTGGAAAGAAGCAAAATGGAGGGAGATCCCAGGTTGGGGGGTGTATGAGAACTTGGCAGTGGTGGCAGGGGGTAAGGGTTGGTGGTCCTGGAGGATGGGGAACTGGCTCTCACTGTGTCTCCACAATGTCCACTGACTCCTTGCCACAGCAGGGAAATCCATTGGCACCTGGCAGGGAGAAGGAGGTGAGGGCAGGGGAGCTGCAGATGGGGACCTCCGTGGAGGGTTCTGGAGCCCCGGCAGGTGGTGCTGCTCCAGCTACCCCCTCCCTCCCTCCCTGTCCTGCATCTCAGCTCATTCACCCTCCCCTCTCCCGTCCTGCCCCTCGGCTCCCTCCTCTCTCCAGTGTCACCAGCTCTGCGCTCCATATCTGCTCCCCTCCATGCTCGAATTTGCCTTTCCTTTGGCTCTCCCCAATCCATCACCATCCTCCACGGGGATGGATGCTAACAGGCTTCACTGCAATTTACTGAGTGCTACTAAGCCAGGCATCATGTTGGGTGCTTTCTGTGCTTTATCTCATTGATTCAACACAAAAAATGAGAAAAGCTTCATTTGCCCAAGGTCCCTCAGCTGATGGTTGCCGACATCAGGAACTGAATGCAGGTTTGACTAAAGAAAAACCCTTAACTCCCCTGTCCTGCATGCTATCCTACCCAGGGGTCTGTAACTGTGTTGGGACCCCTAGAGAACCTTCCATTCCTGCTCCTCTGCCCCCTTTCTCCACTCTTCTCTGGCCAGGCTTCAGATCTGGCACTCACCCTAATCCTGGCCCCTCCTGCCCTGAAGCACCTCCTCTCCTCCAGGCTTCTCACTCCCTCACGTCCTGGGTCACCCACCCAGGCATTTGATCTGCGGGGATGCTTACAGCAGAGTTCCCATCACCTTCTGCAGAAGGGACTGAGCAACGCCTTGGGGAAGGTTTTCCCGCCCCAGTCACCTCCCTGGAAGCTTGTATCTTTTACTGAAGAAGCTTCTTTTTCATCCTCTGGGCGGTAGGGGTACCAGGCTGTCCCATTCTCTGTTCCCCAGGGTCGTAGATGGGGATTGATGGTGGAGCCATCATGGCAGTGGGAAAGCCAGATCCCCCTGAACCTAGAGTGTGGCAGGAAATGATGGCCTTGGCTCTGGCTAAGAATTGCTCCCAGGATTATATCCAAAGGATCAGAGTGTGCCATGGCCTCTTTCTAGAGATGTAGAGGCTGTTTCTGCATCTGGGATTTGGGCACATCCATGTTCCTCTTGGGCCTGGGCATCTTGGATCAGCCACATGGCCGGGCTGGGAGGGCACCACCATGGACAGGCTCCCAAGAGCTAGCTTGGTGGTCTCTGGAATCTTCCACCAACTTGACTGCCATGTTCCGTTGGCTTCCTTCATGTCTCTCTTCATTTCCAACTCCAGTTATCCCCAGTGCTGCTTTTATCCAGGCCTCTTGCCTCAGAGCCTTCCTTTGCTTGCTTTGCAAAATCTCCCTAGACAATCTAATCAACACCCATAGCCTAGACCCTTCCATGAACAGCAACAGGGTGTGGATAGGAAGAGAAAGTGTTATGGTGTGAACCTCATAGTGGCACTGGGGGTTGGAAGCAAAAGTCTGAGTTTGACTCAACTTGGGACCTCTGTGCCCAACTTGGGAATGTTCTATTAGGGATTCAGGTGACATTCTTTTTTTTTTTTTTCAGGTGACATTCTATAATATGTGAAATAATTTCAATTTCCAACTGCTGGTTGCTAGTGTATAGAAATGTATATCCTGTAACCATCCTAAAATCCTATCAATTCTAGTTTTTTGTTTTGTTTGTAGATTCCATAAGGTTCTCTACATAAACAATGATGGTGTGACTAGGGGCGCCTGGATGACTCAGTCGGTAGAGCACGTGACTCTTGATCTTGGGGTCGTGGGGTTCAAGCCCCATGTTGGGTGTAGAGATTACTTAAACTATTTTAAAAAAGTATGTGTGTGACTCAAGACAGTTTTACTTCTTCCTTTCCAAACTGGATGTCTCTTATTTCCTTTTTCTGCTTTACTGAGAACAATGTCCAATACAATGCTGAATAGAATTGAGAGTAGACATCCTTGCTTTGTTCCTGACCTTAGGGAGGAAGCATTCAGTATTTCGCCATTAAGTATGATGTTAGCTGTAGTTTTTCCTCATAGATGACCTTTATCACGTTGAGGAAAGTTACTTTCCTAGTTCACTCAGTTTTTACAGATTATTTTTTTACAGAGAGAGCACAAGTATGTGCACAAGGCGGGGGAGGGACAGAAGGAGGGAGAGAATCCTAAGCAGACTCCATGCTCAGTGTGGAGCCCAACATGGTGCTCGATCCTACAACCCTGAGATCATAACCTGAGCTGAAATCGAGTCGGACACTTAACCAACTGAGCCACCCAGGTGCCCCTTAGTTCGCTTAGTTTTTAGTTAGGAAGAGATGTTAGATTTTGTCTGATGCTTTTTCTGCATTAGTTGAGATGATTATATTGCTTTTCTTTTATATTCTTTTATTTTTTAGGAATCTCTACACCCAACGTGGGGCTAGAACTCATGACCCTGAGATCAAGAGTCGTATGCTCTTCTGATTGAGCCAGCCAGGTGCCCCTGTTTTTTTTTTTTTTATATTCTGTTAATATATTATATGTTATGTATAACATGAACAATGTTATATGTTATTCTGTTAACAATTCTCTTATATTCTGTTTATGGTGAAATAAATTAATTTTTGAATGTTAAAATCAATCTTACTTCCCTGAGATAAATCTCATCTGGTCATAATGTATTATCATTTTACACATTGCTGAATTTGATTTGCTAACTCTTTGAAAGAAATCTTACATGAGGTTCATAAAGTGTATTGGTGTATAATTTTCTTACATTGTCTTTGTCAGGTTTTGATATTAGAATAATGTTGGCCCCATAGAATGAGTTGGGAAGTATTCTCTCTTCAGTTTTCTGAGTTTGCATAAAATTGGTATAATTTCTTCCTTATGTTTGGCAGAATTCCCAGGTGAAGCATGTGAACCTGGGCCTGGAGTTCCTTGTCCATTTTATCTAAGTTGGCAAATTTATTGGCATAAGGTGTTCATAATATTCTTTATTATCCTTTTCATATCTGTAGATTCTGTAGTGATGCCACCTCTTCCATTTCTCATATTGGTAATTTTTGTCTTTTTTCTTTTTGTCCTGTTCAGTTTGGCTAGAGATTTGTCAATTTTGTTGATCTTCTTGAACCAGACAGAGATGTTTCCTGCCTGATCATCCTAAAGTGACATCTGCCAGGGAATCAGTCCTGCAGTCACAGATTCCCAGTCAGCTTTTTATGATTTCACTCTTAAACATGAATAGCCTAGCATGACTAGACATTTGAGGAAACTACCCACCTGCAGTTTACAGACCAAGAGAAAAGATGACTCTAGAATACCAGAGGTTATTTGGGAAACAGAAAGGAGCTTTAAAAATACTCTAAAATCTTGAGATTCCGAGATGTAGATATTCAACTATATATTGCATCCAAAAAGCAAGAACAGGATGCTCTTTAAAAAATTAAGAAAAGAAAGAACTTTTGGCAAAAAGGCTTGGAAAATAAAACGAAAATCCTCCCAGAAAGCAGAACCAAAATATCAAGACAATGTGAGAGAAAATGATCAAGAGGCAGTCCAGTTCTGGCCTATAGAAAGGGGATCTAGAACACGGAAAAGGAACGAGAAAAATTTTCATGAGCTGAATGATGATGTCATTGGCTTAAAAGTGTTCACCGAAAGCCCCGCACTACAGATGTCAAAATAACCTTGCTGTAAAAGTTCATTGCACCAGGAACAAAGAATTCTTAAATGCTTCTAAAGTGGAAAAACCAGTCACCTACAAGGGGAGGGGAATCGATTATACTGGCAGCAGTGTTAGCAACAATGGCTGCCTTTAAAATTCTGAGGAAAATGTTTTTTAACCTGTAGGTTTATATCCAGCCAAACTATCATTTCAGACATGGAAGGACTCAGGAAATTTACTTCCTCTTTTTTAAAGGAAGTTATTTGAGGATGTGCTAAAACAAAATAAAGGTGTAAAACAAGAGAGTCAGGAAGGAAATAGCAGTCCACCTCAGGAAAGCAGCTAAGTCCCAGGATTTTAACTGTATAGAGGCAAGAAGATGAAGGGTTCTGGGCAGTAGATTTCTGAAATAAAGAAAATCTGATAGAATAGTTGATTAGATGTAGAGGTTGATGAAAACTAAGACTATGATAAAACCAAAGAATATAAGGAAAAGGCAACTAGAAACTCCAGGAAAAACAAAAAGCTGTATGAGAAAGAAAAGGTAACTGTGGTACATTTCTTGGTTCTGCAGTGAACAGTAGTTATGAGTCACAATAATGTCAGTCCAGTTTTCAACTTTCAGAATCAACATATAAATAAAAATTGGAAAATATATTTGTGGCTATAGGACAATGTAAATGTTACCAACCTTGATATTTAAAAAATAAAAATACAAGTTAGCATTGTTGGGAGGTGGGAGGGAGGGAAGAAAGCTGAAGGGAAGAGTAGGGGCACTAAAAACTTCATCTTACTATGTGTGGTATCAAAAGATATTATCTAAAGTGATGAAAAATAAAGACATAAGTATATTAAACTTACAAAGGCATCAGCAGATCTAAAAATGATGTTGGGAGGATGGGGGAGGGTGGATCCATTAGAGCAGGAAGGTGATAATGTCTAAAACTGATAAACCAAGAAAGAGTCCGTGGGCTTGTAGAAAGATAAGAAGGTAATTAGGCAGAAAAATAGTTCTAATGGAACAGTGTGGCTGCTCTGAGGAGTGAGACTGGGGGTGTGCTATAGGAGATGCTTTTCATCACTGAAGAAGCTCTTCAGAGCTATTTAATCATATGCATATATTTCTTTGATAAAATTCAATGTTGAACCCCTGGCTAAGGGCCAGGCATTGTTCTAGGGGACAGAGTGATGAACACACAGTTTCTGCCCTCTTGGGGTTTCCAAGCCTGTGGCTGGGACCATAGAAGATCCTCCAATCTCTATTTCCTATTCCCACTTCTCCTGAGCTCTAGACTCAAACTCCAGTCACTGATTGCACATTTATCCCTAAGGGGATCTCTCCCTTGTCAGAGCCTTAGATGTCTCCTATCTCTGAAATGTCCTTGTTTTCTATTGTGATGATGCTCAGTGCTTACTTCTTCCTGGAGACCTTCAGGATTCTACCCTGTGGCATCTCCTCCAGTTGCCCCAGCCCAATCCCTGCAGACCTCTGAGCACAGGACTCTTGCTGACCCTTAATTCGAGGTGGGCAGACTGTGTGGGCTTCCCACTTTGAATCTCTGATCCCCTGCACACAGAGTCTACAAGGTGGATGCTCAGCAAAAGTCTGTGCAAAGAAATGAACACCCTGCCAAATCACGCGGCTTGTCCTCCATTTTTCACCTCAAGTTCACACCCTCCATGTCTAGACTCTAGGTAGCCAACAGAGTTTGCATGTCTGATCCATCTTCCTTCCAAATCACTCATGTCTTGATCACCCCCTCTGCCCTGGTAATTTCCCCTCCCTGATAAACCTTCATTCTATCACCCAAATTAGAAACCTGGGTTACTTGTGACCCTTCTCAGTTCCCCAGCTTCTGACCTCCCTACCTCTGATGTTGACCTTGTGCAGGTCCCTTTCTCCATCCCCACTACTTTTCATCTCCCAACACCAAAATCAGTACAAACCTAGGACTGATCACCTGCCGGCACTCCACGCTGAGTGCTTCCCATTACATCCTCTTCACCACCCTATGCCCAAGTGGTCACGACTCTGCTCTCACAGATGAGGAAACTGCACAGGTCACACATCCATTAAGAGAAGTGCCATGACTGGAACCCAGGACTGACTGGCTCCGAACCCCAAGATGCTAACCACTGTGTTGTTTGAAATCTCTTTAGGCATCTAAGCTGGACCACTACAACCAAATTGCCTCCAACTTGGGCTACATAATGACTCCAGAGTGAGCCTGCTGCATCACACCTGCCTCTGGTCACATCCAGACTGTAGAGTGGCTTCTGCCCTCTTGTTGCATCTCCTGGTATCTAGCTCCCTCCTTGCTCCAAGCCCAAGCTCCCCCAGAGCATAGCAGGCCCTTTTGTGCCTCAGTCCCTTTGCACCTGCTATTTCAGATACCCAGGAAGTCTTTCTTCTGGCAAAATCCTACTCATCCCTGACAGGCTAACCCACCTCTCCAGTATCATCTTCTCTGTGACACACTTAGCTGTCCTATCCACATTTTAATTTTTTGTTAACTCATCAGACTCAGGGCCTAGTACAAGAGTAAGAGTTGAAGGGGGTACAACAAAGGTCACAGGAGTGATTTAAGGTATCTGCGTCAGTTTGGGGAAGGGAAAAGCTGTTCTCTGGTTGTTGGTTCTTGGCATATTTTTAATGCTGGCCCACGTCCTCCTGGGAGAGAAGATCCCGAGAAGAAAGCCCCTATTTCAGTGGAAACCTAAGGGGCAAACAGCTTTCGCCATCGCTACAGAGCAGAGTGCAAAGGACAAAGGAGGCGCTCAGGAAGTAGTTGTGGAAGCCGACAGCTTCTCTCTGCAAGGGCTCCAGGCATCAACCAGGAATAACTGAACTGGATTTTGGGGTTATTAGCAGTTTGGGACAATTCATGAGTCGTTTCCTGAGCACAAGGCTGCTGTTCCTTCCGTGTGCCCAGAACCCCTCCAAGAGTTGGCTGAATCTGCAGCCTTTACTCCAAGGTGTGCATTCGGGCCTGTGCGCACAAGCTTGTGCACCGCGCAGGGCCCAGGCTGGGCGCGGTAGTCTCGGGGCGAGGCGACGGTCGGCTGGGGTCGACCTTCCTTCCAGGCGCCCCGGGCTTCGCGAGCAGGGGGAGGGGCCCCGGGCTGATTTCCCCGCCCCGCCCGGCCCCGCCCATCCCTTGGCGCCCCGCCCCGCCGCGCGCCAGCCCGCTCCCACCTGTCACCCCCATGCTGACCGAGGCTCTGTCGGGGAGGCGGGGAGCGGGCTGGTCGCTGCTGCCCCTCCGCCTCCAGTGCGCTCTTTGGCTGGGGGCTGTGGGGGGCGCTGGAGACGCTGGGGGCGACTGCGCCTGTGATGTCGCCGCGTCTGTGACGTCCCTGCCCGGACCCCACGGATGGAGGCGGAAAAACGCTCAGGATTCACGGCGCGTGGGCGGGGCGGCTGCTGGGGGGTGTCCTCCGGAGACTGCGCCACCCTGAGCACTCTTCCCCGCAGGCCCAGAGGGAGCCACCTCCGGTAAGCTTAGATGGCCTTTGCACCTGCCCCTTTCTGGGGTGCAGGACCCCTCCAGGAAGCTGCTGAACCTGCGGCCTGTACCCCGAAGTCTGCATGTGTGCCCGTGCACACACACATAGCTACTTGAGCAAGGCTTCAGGGGGTGTGGAGCCAGATGGGACAAGGCCCCCGCCCCTTGTGTGTCTGTGGCATCCATTCTCAGGTGGGTCCCTGTCCTGGAAAGGCCCAGGAACCCACTCCTGCAAAGTCGTCTCTGCTCACTCAGTCCTGCTCCCAGTTCTGTTCCCTGGAAGCCAGGCCTCAGGGACAGGAGAGGGTGGGGCAGTCTTTGTTCGGGGCTCCTGGTGCGCCCCCACCTCTCCACGTCAGGCCACTGCCTGGGGCATATTGACTTCTCCTCCTCAGCCTGCAGTGTTTGGCCAGGGACTTCCCTATGGCCACCGGGTGGGGCATCTTGCTTAACTGGTCTGAACGGATAGGCCAAAAGTAGGACTGGAAGCGCCCACTGGGAGGGCTGGTGGGAAAAGTGACCTCACTCAAGGGGTGGAAACAGTCCTTGCCCAAAATCAATGGCAGCTGTGAGAAAACCCCACCAAGAAGGCAAAGGGAGGCAGCTGTTAGGATCTGAGGTTCTGTAAGCAGGCAGGCGAGAGTGGGGACAGCCATGGCCTAACACATTTGTCATCACCCCACACTTTATTGCTTACAAAGAGTACCACCCGAACTCTGCAGTACAAGGCTGAACCTCTTCACGTGCTGGGGGTTGGGGTGTGTGTGTGTGTGTCTCTCCCTGGGGAGCAGAATGGCTCGATGTGGATAGCTGGACAGAGGCCACCTTGGCAAGACACCGGGATTAGCTCCTCCCGAGGAGGACTCTCAGGGGGACACCCCTCATCTCCGAGAGGAGGCTAGCAGGCCCCCACACAAGGATTCACAGTTGATTAATGCTACATGGGCCCTGATCAGCCCCCCCATCGAAGAAGAAGGGGCAATGGGGTATGGTGGGAGGGGGCTCATCTTAAAGAAATGCGGAGGTTTGAGGGGTCATGCGCGTGGAGACAGGTCAAGACTTGAATGCCTTCACACCCCATCTCCTGGCCTGCTTATGCGCATGCAGGACCACTGACCTGCCCTCCCGGAGGGCAGCCATGAAAGTGCTTTGAGGTCATCAGAGTGCAAAGTGCGGTTGGCAGTGCCCCCTGAGGCGAGGGGCAGGGCAGGGCCAGTGAGAGTGTGAGGCCTGGGCTGTGTCTCAGGAAGCTGGTGTGCCCGATGCCTAAAGTTGCGGCCGGGGGAGACAGGAGCGCCTGCACCCGCTGCTTTCTTGCACCCGGATCACAGCCCAGCCACAGACTGCTCCGGTCGGGCCAGCTCCCGCCACCCTTCCCTTCCACAGACGGCGGGGGGGGGGGGGGGCTGACGGCCAGGCAGTCATGGGCCATTCTGGGTCTGCAGCCGCGGCTCGGGGCCTGCTGCTCTGGGGAAGATTGGTGGCCAGCAGCAAAGGGACACGTGCTTGGGGACTGAGAACCATTTCCCTTAGACACCTGTGGTCCTTGGCGGAAGCTGAGTCCAGCTCCAGACCCGTGTTGCTACGCCCTGACGGTGTGCCCTGGACTCCCAGGGAGACTTCCCAGCGTCACGCGTGGCTCCCTCCCTGACTCTGTCAGGAAAGTTCCTAGATCAAAAAGGGGCTTCGATGGCCACGCAAGGGGGTCAGAGGGCTCCCCGTTCACCCAAGGGTGGGTATAGCTGCTGCCCCGCTCCTGTACCGGACCTGGGCGTGGGTCCTCAGACACTCGACACCCGTCCACCTGCTCAGAGGTCGAGGGACTCGCCCACCCTCCCTGACCCAGGCCGGAAGCTACGCTCCTGCCGGCCAGCAAGGGGCTACTGATCCAAACAGGTCAGGCCAGCTCGCGGGGACCAGGGCAGAGAAGACCCTTTCCGTTCGTTCCCCGTGGACGGGAAGAGGCCTCCTGCCTGCCTCCTCCTCCTCATGTGGGCACAGGGTGCTCTCCCGGCGGGGTCAGGCGGGACACGGGACGTCCTGGGAGGCATTCTGCCTGCCCCTAGTCGCACCGCTGAGCCAGGGGGTGGCAGACCCCTGGGAGCAGGCTGAGCCTGGGTGCCAGGGGTGGCACCGAGCCCCGAGAAGGCAGGCCGCCTCTGGCAGAGTGGAGTCAGTGGTGGAAGGCTGGCTCAGGGCCTGTTCTCCAGCTGGCCATGCTTGACCCTCCAGCTCCAGGCAAAGCTGCCGTCAGGGGCCAGGGTGCACTGCAGGTCGATGCCCGAGTCCGGCACCTCCATGTCATAGCGCACGGGCTGCCCATCCTTGGTCACCAAGCTGAAGGCCGCGGCCGGGATCTGGGGGCAGAGCAAACCAGCGGGCCTGAGACTGCGGCACGGGGCTCAGAGGCTGCCTAGAAGTGCCAAGCTGAGGTCTCCCTCCAGCCTAGCAGGCAGTCCTGAAGGCCTACTCTTGCCTTGAGTCCTGGAGGACTCGGAGAGTCTCACCTGGCCCAAGGGTCGGTCCTGAGGAAGGAGAAGCCTTCCTCCTGAAGGGCTGGGCCAGGTACACTGGCTTCTGGGACTCTGCCTCTAAGTAAGTGCATACCTGCCCCCTTACCTGGCTGCTGATGCCAGTTGCGATGTCCCCCACCTTGACCCGGTGAAACTCCCGGATGTGCAGGTGTTCGCCATTGAGAGACTGTATCTGGATTTTCACACCTAGAAGGCAGGCGAGGTGACTGTCAGTGGTGTGGCCGCTGGCTCCCTAAGGAGCCCCATGCAGAAGGACGCAGGACAGCTGTGAGGATGCTGACATGATGCTTAGGCTGGAGTGGCCCTAATGGCAAACACCTGCTGGCTCTTCCCGGTCATTTTCTGTCAACCCCTAGAATTCAGCTTACACGACGCAAAAAGCTAAGGTCGGCTCTTTTGGGGAACTAGTATTCCAACTTGCACACAAAGCAGAACGGAAGTGGAAACTGAGACTCTTAAATTAGCTTGTGGACAACTCAGGCTGTCATGTTGTTTGAGTTGGAGTGGCCGCCGGCCAGGCCATGGGTGCTTGAGGCCATGTGTCACACTGGCGCTGGGAAGAGCCAGGGAACAGTGAGCCGATGAAACCCTCGTTCTATCAAAATCACAATGCAACCTATGCAGCCATGTTGGAAAACATCTCATCTTAGGAGCTGAAATCCCAGAGGAGGATCCCAGCAAACTTGTTGCTGAGTTCTTATCTTGTTCCTCCTTTTCCCTTCTGAAGACATTATTTCTTGACTCCAGGCCAGGAGAGACTGCTCTGTGCCCCAAGCTAGGGGCCTTCTGGAACTCCATCAGCAGCCCACAAGGGGCAATGGTCCTTTACTGCCCCACCAGGGAGGGCTCTTGGGCAATCAGGGCCTTCGCTCTGAACCGACTTAAGGGCCAGGGAGCTCCAGTCTGGGCACCAGGTGCCTCCCCCGCCACCCCGGCCCCCCACCAGGGGAAGGGGGACCTAGACTGCCTCAGGCTCCCCAGTTCCAGGTGGATCAGGTTCCGTGGGGGCCGCTGAGCAGGCGAGTGCTGGGCTGTACCGTGGAAATAGCTCGGCGTGTCGGCGGGCCGGCCCCGGGCCAGCACCACGTCCCAGCTGGAGCTGTGAGCCTCTGCCTGGCTGCCCCACGAATGCACGCCGGAACTCAGGGTGTCCCGCGAGCTCTGAGACGCCTTTGACGGGTTCTGAAATGAGAGTGGGTGCGACTCAGGCCCCTGGGCTCAGGGGGCCATCTCTGGCCTTGGCTGGATTTGGGGCACGGGGCCCTCCCCTGGGGTGAGGAACTGCTCCCGTCCTGGGCTGGAGTGTGGCCCTCCTGGGCACTTTGGGGGCTAAGCAGGGGGCTGAGGTGAGGAATATTTCTAGGGGGCCCCAAGCCCACATCTTCTTCCCACTATCCCTAGTAGCCAAACCCTTCCCCAATTTCCAGGTGTGCTGAAGACGGATTGCCTCCTCCTGAGAGGCTACCAGCCCCCGCCCTGGTGGGGAGCCCTTCCGAAAGGAAGGGGTGACTCCCATCAGCCCGCCTTTACCACCACATGCACACAGCCCGCTCACCAGCTTACCTTCTCACTGTCGTCCGACAGAGAGAGGCTGTCGATGCTGAGGCAGGAGAGAATCTGTTCCTGCTCCTCCAGCGAGAAGGGCTGGGACAGGCTGTTCAGAAACAGTTCTGCAGAGAGAGGCAGAGGATGGCCGTGAAAGAGCGGGAGCGGCCGGGCTGTGTGCAGGTGCCCAGGGCCCCAGGAGCCCCGGCCGGGGCTGCCCGTACCTATTTCCAGCTGCTGCAGCTCCTGCTCGGGGACGGTTGCCTTCCGCTCGGCCGAGCCAGGGTTCTTGGCAGGGGCCGCGTCCAGGGAGGACAGAGGCAATGGCTCCCACGGCCCACACTCCTCTTTGCCCCAGTTCAGGCTTGGAGACTTGTTTCGCTCTGGGGGCTCTGGGGGTAGTGGAGGTTGGAGCTGAGGGACCCCGCCTGTTGTGTCCGCAGCTGGCTGGGGCCCTGGGGCCCCAGGAGAGAGCTCCCTCGGCTGGACAGGCAGGGTCTGGTGAGAGTGGCCCTGGCTGGCCGGTGCCTGGGCCGGGTGTGGTGGCGGCTGTCTTGGCTCTTTGTACTCTCCCCTCCAGGGGCTCCGCAGACCGCCCACTACAAAACAGAGCACGCTCGGTGAGGGGGACCAGGCCCCAGCCTCTGGGCCAGGCCACGTGGTCCTTGCTGAGCAGAGGGCTGGGAGCAAGCAGTGAGGGAGGACTCTTGTCCCACTAAGGGACACAATTTAGGAGGGCGCCGGGCGGTCTTGGAGGAGGCCTCTTCCAGAAGATGGCCCTCTACAATGGGAACATGACGGTATATCTGTTTATTCCATCTTCCTTCTAGGTAACAATCGCAAATTTAAAAATGACAGAAATGGCTCCAGGGAAAGATTCTGTCACTAGTAAAGAGAAGATTTAAAAACAGCCCTGAGGTCATAGCAACTTCGAGTTCCCATGTAAACTGGCCTCCTTGACCTCCCGCCGCCATCTCTCTTACCACCCCCCCCCACCCCCAGTCAGTGCTTCCCGAGGGTGCCAATGCTCTGGAGTGTGGGGTCAGTTCATCTGTGTTTGGGGGGGCATGCAAGGTCTCTCTCCTGTTTTATTTATTCCCCTCTGACTCCCATAACCACTGCCTTTCCCCTGCTCACCTCCTGGTGACGTTCTAGTGTTTGACATGGCACTTGGGGTTCGATCATATTTTTGCAAAGTGTGTGCTTTTTTTTTTTTTTAATTTTTTAAAGATTTTATTTATTTGCGAGAGAGAGAATGAGAGACAGAGAACATGAGAGGGAGGAGGGTCAGAGGGAGAAGCAGACTCCCTGCTGAGCAGGGAGCCCGACGCGGGACTCGATCCCGGGACTCCAGGATCATGACCTGAGCCGAAGGCAGTCGCTTAACCAACTGAGCCACCCAGGCGCCTGTGTGTGCTGTTTTTATTTATCAATATTTAATTTACAAAAAAGGCATCGTGTTCTAGGCCTCGCTCTGTCCATCTACCCGGCACTATGGTTTGAAAAGCCGGCCGGGCTGCCTTGCGAACACTGACTTGCCTGCCCCGCTGTCTGGTGCTCCATGGGACACAGCCAGCACCACCCGTCTTTGGCCCGTCCGCTGTCCCGGGAAGAGACGTGCCACTGCACCCTACGCCCCTCCCACAGGTGTGCAGGTGTCTGCGGGCGCTGGGAGCTGCCCTCCAGCAGAGCTAAGGGCCGCTGCCCCACATCCTCCTGCCACTTAGTGTTACTAACTTTCTGCCTTTTCTCATTTAGTGGCTGGTAAGTGCTATCTGGCTTTATGTCACATTCGCTGATTACTAATGAGCTTGAGCCCCCCTTTATTTATTTATTTATTTTCGATTTTATTTATTTATTTGACAGAGAGGGAACACAAGCAGGGGTAGTGGGAGAGGGAGAAGCCGGCTTCCCGCCGAGCAGGGAGCCCGATGCGGGGCTCGATCCCAGGACCCCGGGATCATGACCTGAGCCGAAGGCAGACGCTTAAGGACGGAGCCACCCAGGCGCCCCTTGAGCCCCCCTTTAATGTTGTAGTCCCTGTCCCCCATCGACTGAGCTTCGAGACACAGTACAAAGCCCACGGTGGGTTTCATCGCTATGCTCTAGATGGGGACACCAAGGCTCTGAGACGTCGAGTACCTTGCCCTTGACCACTGCACCATGCTGTCGCCTCTCCCACCCCTGCGGCCCGTGGGGGGCTCTTACCATGCTGCAGCGCCAGGCTGACCTTTCCCCCCAGTTCCACCGCAGATGCACGGCGGCCAGGCTCTTTCCTCAGCCCCTCCTGGATGGCCTGGGCAGTGAGCGGGGCACAGGAGGGTGGGATCTCTCTCACAGGTGGAGGCTCGCTGGCGATCTGTGGGTCAGAAGGTGACACGTGTGGCCTGTCCCCCCTCATTCCCCAGCACCCAGCTTTCTGTTCTTCTCTTCCCCACTTTCCCCTGCCCTGCTGTGCTGCGGTCGGCCACAAACACTGGAGAGGGATGGGACTTTTCCAAGGAAAGGGAAGAAAGGGGCCAGGTAGACACCGGCCAAGGTGGCAAGGTGTGCCCAGGACCTCCAGGCTCAACCTGTCAGGAGGCAGGCAGAGGTGGCACAGGGTATGAGTGGAAGAGAGCCCTGACCTGCCGTGAGCTCAAGGAGATCCCTCCCTTAGGATCTCCCCTGGGGCCTGTAGATTTGGGTGGCAAGTATTTTAGTCACGGTCCCACAGTTATGATGAGGCCTCTTCCTGTTCCCATCTGCCACCGAAAAGCAGCCAAAATGGGGGGTCACTTCAAGCCTGCAGCCTGGGCCCCGAGGCCCTGCTGGCTCCCCCTCCTAGCCATCCCAGGTGCTGTCACTGACCTTGAGGCAGAGCGGCCCCCTGAAGTACTGGGTCCAAGGGTGGCAGCCATTGAGCATGTGGAGCATCATGCAACAGCTGCTCCAGACGTCCACCTTGGCATCACAGGGCTTGCCCATCACCACCTCTGGGGCCATGTGGGTCTCTGTGCCAGGGATGTAGTCCCCTGAGAAGGGGGCGTGAGACCGGAAAGCCAACTGTGAACTCTGACGGGCAAGAGCCTTGGCAATAACCCCCACCCCCAGCCCCCAGTCAATTCCTGAAATACCTGGAATTTGTCTCTGTTAAAGTACCTCAAATAGAGAGGAAGCTTCCAGATCAAACTTGCTGGGGCGAGCTAAATCAGGGGCTCTACTGGGAACTGGTATAAAGAATGTATCACCCAAAATAGGGGCTCGGCCCTTTGGACCCAATCCTTAGAATACTTTTTAAAAATGGGGAGGGGCCTGAACATTGAAAAGTAGGTTGTCGGAGACTAATTAATGGTTTGATGTTTCTGAAATTTTAGTGAGTGAAGAAAAAAAACAAACTTCAATGCATAGAAGACTAGAAGGATCGATACCAGATGTGAAGAGTCACACCCCCTCCACCCTGGTGATTTGTATTTTTTATTTTTGCTCAGTTCTACTTTCTGCAAAAGATTTTAGAAATTATTCTTGTAATAAGAAAAAAACCCAGTAGTTATTTTAAAGGGACGGGCAGGTGTCCGTCTTCAGTTTACATCTTCAGAATTACCAACACAGTCTTTAGTAACAGAATCACTTCTAAAAGACTGTTTTTCTTTTGGTCAAGAAGAAATAATTTTATGCTTAATGCTATAAATGAAAAAAGCAGGGCACAAAATTGGGTTATATCCGCCTTAACTACGTACAGGGTTAAACAAAAAAACAAAGAAAAGACGACGTGGAAGGAATTACTTAAAACGTTAATGATTGTCTCTCTGGGCAAGAGAAGCGGGGAGGGTCCTTTTCCCCTCTTCTTCTATACCACGTAACTCTGTAGTTGGCAAATATTTTATAATGGATGTAGACTATTTTAATAATCAGAAAACTGTTAAGTTAAAAACAAACATTTCTCCAGCTACAGAGCCTAGGCCCCTCGGTCAGCCCTCCTGTTGTGCTTCCAGAAACTGTGCTCAGAGGCCTGGGAGGGCTGAGGCCACAGGCTGGGAGCAAGCTACCCAGACAAGGCTGCACAAGAGGGTTGGAGCCGTGGGAGCTCCGCGGCAGAAGACCCGGGACAAGGCAGTCAGCCTTTCTGTTCCCTCTTCTGTGTAGCAGGAATCTCAGAAACGTGAGCATCTGATCCTTGTTCCTGTGTTTAAGCGTAAGAGAAGCTTTCTAGAGTTGTTGAAGGGCTGAAATATAATGGTGGACAAAAAGTGCTCACGTCTTGGACTGCTGTTACGGAAAGCCCGGGAGAAGACACGGGGCTAATGCTGAGTCAAGGCTGGGGATGATCATCCTGGGGAGGGCAGTGCGGGGCGGGGCTTACCCGTGACCAGTGACTTGCCCAGGCCATCGGGTTGAAGGCACACAGCATGGCCGAAGTCACAGAGGGCCGCACGGCTCCCATCGCTGGACAGGAGCACATTGTCAGCTGCCGGGCCACCCCAGAGAAGAAGAGGAACAGGTGAGTCACTTCAGGCCCCAGCCCAGTCTGGGCCTCCAGTGAGGCAGTTTCTGGCTGACCCTCCGTGGGTTTCATTAGTCATGAGGAAGACGAGAGCCTCATCGGTTCAGGCTAGAGGCAGGCAGCAGGCCAATCTCGGAGGTACAGGGACAGAGTTTCCTCCTGGGACGTTGCCACTCAGCTCTGCCGCTCCCACCCTCCCCCAGTGGTTGCCGGTGTGTAGACGCTGTGTGGGCAGCACTGCCCACTGGCAACTATGGTGTCAGGCTGAGGGCTTGGGAAACACCCCCCCCCTTCCCACCGGCACAGCCTGGTCAGCCTGACTCAGGCCCTGCCACGGGGGATGGCCAGGCAGGCCCAGAAAGATCTGGGAGGACATCAGGCAGGATGAGGTAAGGAAGGAGCCCACTGGGGACCAGGGCGGTTGGGGTGTGAGCCTCACCTTTGATATCTCCGTGCAGAATCCTTCGGGTGTGGAGGTATTCCAGTCCTTCCAGAGCCTGGCCTAGGTAGTAAAGGGCCCGGTCCTCCGGCAGACAGCCCTTCTGCTTTATGAGCTGGCCCAGTGAGCCACCTAGGAGACCAATGGCCAGTCTTTACATGGGGCATTTCCAGGCCTGCAGGCAGGCCAAGGCCAAAGGCCTTCAAAGGGTAGGTGGCTGGAAAGTAGGCCTTTCCTGCCAGCGTCACAGGGTCGAGAGGTTAAAATGGAGTAACTGGGGACCAAGGTCAACCTGGGCAAGACTCGGGGAAAACCCCAGGTCTTGGCTCTGATCCGTGAGGGGGAAAGAGTGGCGCCTGACTCCTTACCTTCCAGCAGTTCCATGAAGATGTTGACCCAAGGACCCTCCTTCACAGCTCCATACAAAGGGACGATCCTGGGTGAGGTCAATCCCGCACATGCCATCAACTCTTCTGCCCGAAACACTTCGATGCGCACCTGGCAGGGCCCACGTGAGTCAGGGTGAGGGCCCAGGCTGCTTCCCTGGCATCCTGGCAGGACCCTCGATGCTCCCTGCACGGAAACTGCTGATGCTCCCCATGTCCATTCTGAGGCCAGGCAGGGCCGTGATGGGCCTACTGGACCCTCAGAGACTAAACTGTGTACCCTGGGGGGGGGGGTCATGTTCAACTTCTAGTACATGGTTAAAGTTCTGTACTGCCGATGTGTGTGGAAACACTTAGAATCACACAGAAACTATTACCCTTATCCAGGCCCCTGGCATGCTGCCCACCCTCAAATCTGCCAAACACACTTTTTCTCCCCCCAGCCAAAATGGCTGGGCCATTTCTAGGACGTGGGACCTTTTGTTTATCAACATCCACATCTATTCCCCAGAGGCTGGGTTTCCATCTTATCTGCAGCCAGAGCCGATGCAGCTAAGATCCTGGCTCTGTCAGCACCCTTCTCAGCACTTTTCTCAACTCGGAATTATTTGTCTTTTTCCCTGAGGACGAAAATGTCCATGTAGACGGAGCAATGCTTGTTTATTCTGTTTGCAGCTGTTTCCCCAGGATCTGGGCCTAAGAGAGGCTTCTCAGGGGGAGTGGCTTGGCCAAGGCCCCTCCCGAAGGGACCACACACTCCTTTGTGTAGGGACCAGCATAGCATGGCGGGAAGAAATAGGCCTGGGATGCAAACATCCTAGACCAAGACTCTGGCTTGGCCATTTCCAAAGGTAGATCACTTCCCCTAAGCTCTGTTTCCATATGCAAATGGTGGTGACAGGACTTGGAGGGATGATAATCAGCACCAGGCCTGGCAACTTGTGGGTGCTTGGGAAATGTTAGGTGCCCACTTCCTCCAGCTCAAATAAGAGCAGCTTATTAAACACTTAGAATTCCTAACAGAGACGTGTTCTCCTTTCTGGCTGCAGCTGGTTCTCGTGTTAGCCTTGAGAGGTACCACCAGGGGGCGCCAGTGGCAACCCAACCAGCCTGGAAGAAATCAGTCAGGACCTGGCAGAGCTTTGCTCGGAGACACGCTGACTTGGCAGGAGCTCTGCCGATGTGGGGCTTTTGGGCTTTTGGACTTTTGCCTATCAGTGGAAAATGTCTTCTGGTTACAGACTATTTGGTTTGGTTAATCAACTCGCATAAACTTTGACTCTTTGTCAGTGTTTCCAGCTCTGAACCTGAGCTGGAAGGAATTCGCCGACAGGACTTGGATTAGCCAATGTCTTTAACTCTCTGGCTCCTGAGCTGAGCTGCAGCCGAAGCACTCTGGGGTGCCCCAGAGGACTCAGCTGGGCGCTGCAGGTGTGGGCGCTGGAGGGAAGCAGTGGTGATGGCTATCTGTGGGACATCATGCAAGGTACCAGCTCCAGAGAGTTCGGTTTCAGCATTAGCTCGTGCTCCAGTCTTTCCACAGATCCTTACGGAGCTGGGTTTCTGGAGGCGGCTGTGATATAACTATTTTAGGGGGGATAATGTGGAGCAGGAAAGGAAGGTGAAGGTGTCCAGTCGGATTTCAAAATTGGAGAATTGTGCAGTGCCCAACAAGGCATACATCCCATTAGTGATTATGGTTAAGAACAGAAGACAAATTTTCTTTCCACTTATGCGCATTGTTATTCAAATGATCACTACGTTGTTAGGCTAAACACTATTGTGTGACCTAATTACTCAGTAAACGGAACTTTTAGGTACTTGTTTTGGGCCTCGGGTGCCATGAAAAATTACTGACAGACACTGAGGGCTGCGAAGAACATATGAGAACCTCTGCTTTAACTATGAAGAAATCCCTAAAACAATGTTAAAAACATTCTCACCCAGGGGCGCCAGGCTGGCCCAGTGGGTAGAGCGTGTGACTCTTAATCTCAGGGTTGTAAATTCGAGCCCTACATTGGGTATAGAGATTACTTAAAAATGGAAATCTTAAAAAATAATTAAAAAAAAATTCTCACCCAGACACACGGGGGTCAGAGGGGACGCTTCAAAACACAAGGTGCATTAGAAGTCCGTGCCAGCCCCCGGGAGAGCAAGCAGAAAGAGCAGTCCCGAAGGAGCTGGGTGAGGAGAACGCACATGGCCTTCCTGCCCAGGGCAGCAGCTGGCCCACCGCTCCTCCCTGGACTTCAGCGTCCTCATCAGGGTCGTGGGATCGAGCCCCCGAGCTCCGTGCTCAGTGGGAAGTCTGCTCGGCATTCTCTCGCCCTCTCCTCCTGCCCACCCCCCACACGTGCATGCGTGCATGCGCACACTCTCTAAAATAAATTTTAAAAAACCCCAAAACTAGTATTTACTGCTGGCTTAACACACGCCAGAACGGTTCTAAGCGCTTTGTAAGCATCGGTATTTGCATCTTACAGCGGCCTGTGGGGCCGCATTCGCATTGTCCTCATCCTGTAGGCCAAGGAAGTTGAAGTCTGGGCAAGTAACTTACCCAAGGTCACTGGCAGTATCAGAGCTGGGATTTTGGTTGGGGAAGCCTGACTCGAGAACTACCAGCTACCCTGCCTCACTGAAGGCCTTTCCAGGAGTCTGAGTTTTTATATCCGGACGGTTTCCCTCCCCCACCGCCCCACATCCATTCAGGAGCGAGCATACCCCGGAGGCGGGGAAGTGTGATCAGCCATCCCCTAACTGCCAAATCCACAAGCCACCTCCCTCGGCTTAACTGCCTGCATGCTGATTTTTTCCTTCTTTTTTTTTTTTTTTTTTAAAGATTTTATTTATTTATTTGAGAGAGAGAGAGTGAGAGAGAGAGCGCAAGAGAGAGTAGGGTTAGAGGGAGAAGCAGACTCCCCGCTGAGCAGGGAGCCCGATGTGGGACTCGATCCCGGGACTCCGGGATCATGACCTGAGCCGAAGGCAGTCGCTTAACCAACTGAGCCACCCAGGCGCCCTTGATTTTTCCTTCTTGAGACTCTCCCCTCTTTAGTATTTGTATCCATTTTATTTCATCCGTCAAAAAAGGGATAGTCACAATTCTGTATATTCTTTTAAAGATCTCAGGAACATAAAATATGTGAAAGTAACTAACACAGTACTGGGCACATGGTAGTCCAATGAACAGAGGGCTCCCCCCTTATTTCCTCTTTACCATGGAGATATTCTCCCCTCAGTCCTAGTTCTGCTTCCTCAACACGTGTCCAGGCTGCCCTCACTCATGTACCTTGCTAATGGCTGCTTCTACGTAAATGTCCACCTCCCCTTACAACCCGAGCTCCTTTGGGGCTGGTGTGTGGATTCTGCAACTATCTCCAGCCCCTGGCACAGTGTGCTTGGTTAACAGCTGGCTGGATTTGGCCAAGGCCACACCAACCCAGATCAGTGGCAGAGTCAAAGGGAGGCTCCCAGAACTCCATGCTCGGGCCAGATGTTCTTAAATAAATGGTTCTTAATCCTCTTTGGGCCACAGGGCCCTCCGAAAATCTGACACATGATACAGACTTCCCAACCAAAATGTGTGTGTACATACACACCACATACAACTACAACACAGAATAAAGTTTCAGGAGTTCGTGCAATCTATAAATTCATCCACTGACTAGGATATGAACTTCTACATTGGCTGATAAAAAGCACTAGAGAGATGTATATGTGCCAATAAGGAAATGTGTCCATGATCTACTATTACATGAAAAACATGGCACAGCTTCTAGAGTACAATCTCATTTTAATAAAAGAAACTACATGTTTATGGGGCACCTGGGTGGCTCAGTCAATTAGGCAGCTGCCTTCAGCTCAGGTCATGATCTCAGGGTCCTGGGATCGAGCCCCATGTTGGGCTCCCTGGGTCTGCTTCTCTCACTCTCACTGCCCCTCCCCCTGCTCGTGCTCTCTCTCAAATAAAATCTTTTAAAAATAAACCACATGTTTATTTATACATATATGCACATATATATAGTTTATATATATATGTGTGTGTATATATATATAACAAGTCTAAAAAGTCAAAGGGCAGGTACTCTGAGAATGGACTGGGGAACAAGGAGACTTTTGTGTTTTGGGGTATCCTCTGAATTCCTTTAATGAGCCTGTAGTTAAAAGATCAAACAAAACCTTAAAAAACAAAACCCCCTACGTTAAACCCTGGACTCAGGGCCAATCGGCATCTGACCTGAGGCCACTGATGTTCTAGAAGGAGGATCAAGGAAGTGCTGTTGTACCACGTGCTGGGTCCTCCTCAGGGAACACAGGAGGGTGCTCAGACTTGCTCCGACCCCATGCAGCCTGACCTCCAATCCCTGCTCCCTCCCCCAACCCTCCCCTCTTAGCTGGGAACCGTTTTTTCAGATCTTCTGGCTGAAAATCCTAAAGGACACCTGTGCCTGCCCGACTCCCCCTGACCGCCTTGTTGGCAGCTGATGGGCCACCAACGAGACATCCCACTTGAAGTCTTGGGTGGGGGGGGCACGCAGGTTCTGAGAGCGGCCAGCTCCAGCGGGCCTAGGCAGCAGCTCTGGCGCTTGGGAGCCCATTCGTTGTGGTTGGAGCTTTTCCGCCTGCCTGGGGGAGGTGAGAAATGGAGTATCTGTCCTCTTCTACTATATCAGGGTTGTTTACCTTGTTGCCTGGGACTCCGAGAACCTCAGCAGGGCAACAGCTGAGCAGCCCAGTGACTAAGCTCTCCCCAGCACTGGGCATGGGTTTCCAAGACACTTCACACCCTCACTCTCCTCCCAGCCACCCCTCAGGAGGGACAGCTGAGCCTTCTCCGATGGCCTGCGGGGGGACCTGCGGCTGAGGAGGTCAGGCACGGAGCCCTGGCCTCCAGCGGAGGAGGATGAGCCACGCGGGCAAGAGCCCAGCATTGCCAGCACGGGCTCAGGCCGGGGGCAGGCGGCGGGGGTGGAGCCTGCTTGTTTGACATAGTATGTCTGAAGTTTGGGGTAATACCTACGGATAGTCCCCTCTCAGCCTGTCACCTGGCGGCCCAAACTCTCAGACTTGAGCATCCCAGCCCACATACGAGCTAAGGAAGCCAGGTGATTCACGTCCGATGTGTGTCCTCACCGCTGAGAGCCACAACTCTGCATGGGGCACGAGCCGGCTGGGCCCTGGACAGGGCCACCTGACCGAAGGAGGCCTCAGTTCCAGGCCTAGCTGTGTGGCTTTAGGCAAGGCACACGACCCTCTCTGGTCTCTAGGTCTATCACTGGTGAAATGGAGCCGGAGAGGTGATTCACACCTCTGCTCACGTCACATCCTAGGACCACGAGCCTCCTCCCCCATCCCTTTCTAAAGAGTGGTTCACAGCCGAACTCTGGAGACAGACGAGCCTGGGTCTCTTGCTGTAAGTCGCATTTCCTCATAATGTCCACCTCCCAGGACCTCTTACTCCTGCCAGTAGGAGGCAGAACCTGCACCTAACTCGGATCTGACTCCTCAGGGCCCAGCCTCATCCCAGAGGCACCTGCTAGGTACGGCTACCGCTCTGGTTATTACCTTCTGGCCCAGGTGTGAGCACTCCCACTGTATGGGGTTTAGGGGTTTCAGCTCAGCACGATGAGCCAACTGCCTTCCAGGTTTGGACTTGCCCCTAAGGCCCTGGCATCAGGAGTGGCCCAGGACGCGTGCACACTTGCGCACTCCGACATACACGCATGCCAAATGCGGCGGCTCCCAGGCTGGGACATGTGACTGACACTGCTCCCCTCCGGTTCCAGCTGACCCCAGGGTGCCCAGCGACAGCCAGGCTCCGTTAACAAGTCAGACCCACGGCCGCCCTGGGATTGTCCTTGAAAGAAAGCAGAGGGAATACTCCAGGGCCACCCGCCTGGCTTCCCTCTGCGGCCCTCAGAGCCTGGCCGTCCCTTTTCCTTTTTGGCGTACCTTTTTGACGGCACATTGGAAGCCAGTCTGCTTGTCCTCCATCCTGTGCACCTCCCCAAAGGAGCCTCTGCCCAGGCAAGGCTGGCGCGCGGCCCAGTGGACCTCCTCTCGGTACTCATAATCCACCGGCTTGAGTTTCTGGGGTTGGCAGGAAAGAGAGGCCCGTTTCAGTGGCCAGGGCAGCAGAGGGACGAAAGGTTACCGTGAGGGAGGAAGGCGCTCTGGGCGGTAGTCCTTGTCCGGCTGCTCGGGTGGAGCCCTTATAACCAAAGACCCCAGCGGGTCTGAGGCAGGGCTCTGGAGGGGCAGGACCGGCGCGGGTTACAGGAATAAGGTGAAGGCCAAGGAGAGCTTCGCGGGTGGCCCAAGTCTAGTTGATCCTTGTGATGAAAGATCCTTCTCCCCGGGCTTTGTGGTTGTGGGACAGAAATGGAACTGTCAACAACCTTGACAAGGAGAAAATACAGCTCAGGAGCTATAAAGTAAAACAAAGGGAAGGGACCGCAAAGAGGGGTAGGGGGCAAGGGATCGCGTCAACGATGGATGGAATAAACCCCAGATATTTAAGTCTGGTAAAATGACTTAGAGTCACAAAGCTCTCCAGTAGAGAACTGGGGTGGGGGGAAGAAGGCAGAGCAGAGGGTAGTGCAGATGGGCAAAATCCTGGTCTTTCATAGCAGGGGTGGGGAGTGAGCATCTGTGGTTGAGAGTGCCAATTCCTGTTTCTCAGAATATGCATCATTCATCACACACACACACACACACACACACACACGCACACGTGTACACATACACAGCAGCGATAGCAATAATGAGCTAATCAACCAGAAGAACTCAAAACAGAAATCTCTAAAGAGCCTGAAGAGTGACCTGGAGGTGGAGTGGGGGGTACTGCTCTCAGAAAGCTACGCACTTTCCCACTATCTGATGTGTTCTCATGTGCACGAGTGACTTCCATAAAGAGCAAAGACCACCGCCCCCAAGGGGGGAATGGAGAGTGGGTGTGGCAGGTTTCCAGTGCTGCTGCCCAACCCCCCCAGCAGGTCCCACCTGACTGCCAGCTGCCAATCTCGGCCCCAGAGTGGGTGGCACCCACGCAGGTGTGTGGGGCTTGCTTACCTCCGTAAGCAGGACCCCCTCGCTGTCCTCAGTCTCGGGGCTGGGCTTTCGGGGCTTCGAACCCCCTGCCGACCAGGTCTTGGCCAGGCTGGCCAGGCTGTGGGCCTGGCCGGAGCTCACGCTGCCCTGCAGGGCGTGCACCAGGTACTCCTCCACAGAAAACTTCTCCCGCAGGCCACGGGATGGGCAGCCAGGCTCCAGGTGGGGGCCAGGCACCGGCTTCTGACTGTCCCCACAGACCAGTTTGCCCAGGTAAGGGCCAGCCAGGGGCTGCTGGCTCTCTATACCGGTCAGTTTGTCTAGGAAGAAGGACTCTAAGGGGTGAGGTTTCCAGGGCTGGAGAGGATGGAATGGGAAGGGATGGGGCAGCCTGCTGTAGGGGAAGGGGTGCACGGGCTGGGGTACGGGGCCGAGGGCCTGCGGGTGGTGGAGTTTCCACACATGATTTAGACATTGCAAAGGGCTGATCAGTTTGTGGAGTTCTGAGCGAGGCAGGGCCGGCCGCAGGTCCTCCTCGAGTTTCTTAAAACACAGTCGGCCAAGGCCTGGCTCCTTTGGAGGCTTGGTGAACTGGAGGGCATTTCTAACATACGCGGGGCCTAGTGGAGATTCATCTTCCTGTGCAGAAGAAGGCAGGTGTTAGGACCCGGGCCCAGGGCCAAGGCACCGGCAGCATCCCGAAGGCCCCAGGAGCCTGGGGTCTGGGCTGTGGCGGTGACTCTTACCTGCACGGGGACTGTGCAGCTCTCCTGCTCTGGGGTCCTGGGGAGGGGTTTGGCCAAGGCCACTCCGGCCTGCGTCAGGGACTTCGAGCTCTTCTTCTTGCGCTTCTTCTGGGCTTTGCTGCGGCGCTTCCCTTTCCAACACACACGGGCCATTTTGCCCTCCGTTGCGTGGGCCACATTGTTGGGGATCTGATCAAGGCTCTCGGACTGGCTGTCGAAAGGGACAGATCCGCAGGTTGAGTGTGAGGCAGCGGGGGGTGGGGGGTGGATGGCTCAGGAACTGCGGTTGGATTCGTAGAGACCCCCGAGGTCAGATCCTAGCTTGGTGAGTGCTTGTGTAAACGTGGGAAGGGTCCTCAACCCCAAGGAACCTGTTTTCTCATTTCTAAAATGGGCGTAGGATTTCCTGCCATGCAGACGAAGCTGGGGTTTAAAGGAAACCGCTCATTTCAAAAGCCTACCTCAGCGCCTGATCCCAAAGCAAGCTTCCGACAGACAGCAGTTATTACTACCATGATGGGGCACACGCTGCTCTTCAGGGGGGATGGGCAGACGCAAGGTTCCCACACTACTCTCCAGGGTGGGCTGTCCCTGGAGAGGTCCCCAGGTGCGGGGGCGGCATATGACTTGGAGGGCCACACTCTGCAGCGGGCACTCTCAGCTCTGACAAGAGTCTGTTTCTGTTGCCTCTGGATGAGGGACAGTTGAGTCTGGGCACCTCCACCCCCACGGTTCCTGGAGATCCCTGGTTTCCGGGAATGTAAGCTGCTGCATAAACACAGACACCATTGGGGCCCCTGGGTGGCTCAGTCGGTTAAGCACCTGCCTTCGGCTCAGGTCACGATCCCGGGGTCCCTGCTCAGCGGGGAGTCTGCTTCTCCCTCCGCCCCCACGCCCCCCTCATGCTTCTTCTTTTTTTTTTTTTAAAGATTTTATTTATTTATTCATGAGAGACAGAGAGAGAGAGAGAGAGAGGCAGAGGGAGAAGCAGGCTCCCAAGGAGCAGGGAGCCTGATGCGGGACTCGATCCCAGGACCCTGGGATCATGACCTGAGCCGAAGGCAGACGCTTAACCATCTGAGCCACCCAGGCGCCCCCCCCCCCATGCTTCTGCCCCCTCTCTCTCTTGCTCTCTCTGAAATAAATAAATAAAATCTTTAAAAAAAAACCCCAAAAAACAAAAAGTCTGGGCTGACGCCCGGTACCACAGAGCCTTCCGTTCTCGGCCAGCCTAGAGGCTCACTACCACTGTGGATCCGAGCTGGCTCTTGGTGTTAAGGCATTGGCCACAGAAGAGTGTGAAAAAGCCACTGCCAAATAGCTGTGCCACGGACCACAGCCTCAGCTGCCCCCCAGTGGCCTCACCTTCTTCTCCCCAACAAAGGAGGCAGATTCACAGCAGTCCTAGGGGCTGCTAAAGGCCTATGGGCTTCTCTCAGGCAGCTGAAAGAAATGGGCCCTGAGAGACCCCCTACCCTGGGCCAAAAGGCATCGGGGGCAGCGTAAGGCATGTGATTCGACACTGAGCATTTCTCGGTTCAAGGGCAGCAGCCCTCCCCCAGCCTTTTTTATCACTAGCACTTTGCAAATCCCAATGATAAAAAAGTCATCCTGTTGGTAGAGGAGGGAACTGTCTCCAGGTTCAACTTGCAGTTGGCCAAAAAATCATCTTTGGGGATGGGGAGCCTGGGAACAGACCGAGCCTCACTCTGGCTTCCTTTCCGTGGGGCCACCCAGCTGCGAATCTGTCGGTCGGTCCCCTCCTGTGTCCAAACCCTCATCCCTCCTTGGGCGTGTCTCGCAGGAGAAAAGACACCAGCGGGTTTCTCCCACAGTTACAGCGGCCCCTCGGTGCCTGCGTTCCTGGTCACGCACCACTGGGAAAGTGACTCCTGTTCACAGCACCCTCCCCACTGACGGGAAACAAGGGGGAGCAGCAAGGACTCTGAGGAGAATAAAAATAAAATGTCAAGCTGACGGGACCCAGAGGCAGTCATCCACACGCCGTGAAAAGCTTTTGAAAAGCTTCTTTGGCTGACAGAGCAGTTCAGCCAGGAAAACCTGGGCGGGTTCCAAGAGCTGAGCCACAGGTGCTGGAGGAGGGAGCCAGGGGTCACTGGGGAGCGGCCGGGGCGAGCAGCCGGGGGAGGGAGGACGCGGTTGCAGGTCCCTGGCCTTCTTACCTGTAGTGTTTGGACCCAGCAATGAAGATCCGCTCTGAAAAGGTGGGGCTGAACTCTTGGCTGTTCTCACCTTGCGAGTAAAGGAAAAGAGGTTGGACGAGCAGAAAGGAGGAGAGGAAGAACAGGACTGGGCACTGAGGACAGAGACATCCTCTCGGGCCGCTGCCCCGCTCACCCCACCCTCCTGCTCAACAAGAGCAGAGGGCAATGCCAACAACGGGGGCAGAAGGGTGCCCACCTCACTTCACTAACCGTGCTGCTTAAGTGACATCGTCCAACACACCCAATGAAGCAGCTGGCACATAGTAACAGCTCAATAAATACCAGCTGTCGGGTACTTCTATATGACTTTGTACGCGCCTACTAGGACCATCATGTCACCCACTGTTTTACTTTGTATTCTCTCATCTCTCCTCAAAAGCCAGCCAGAAGGGAGTGGAAGACAGGGGAAGGATGTGGACATGTGGAAAAATGCCACCTGTCTCCCCAGCCTGTATCCCAAGAAACCTTGGAGGGTAGGGGGGAGAGAGGAGGACTTCTGGCCTCAGCCAGGCCCCCAGGAGTTTCTCAGGCTCTGGTGGCAGCCACCATGCCGAGTCATTTAGAAGTATTGTGAGTGCAAGCAGAGAGGACCACACAGGCCCCACCCTGCACTGGCCTATGTCCCCTTGCCTGGCCCAGCAGGCCGAAGAGCAGGTGCTCATTCTCTGGGGTGGAGCCACCTCAACGTAGAAGGTGGGGAAGGGCCTAGAGGCCCCAGAGGGGCTTTCCAAGAGACCTGGCCTTTCCTGTCTGGGGCCTCTCCAGAGATGCTCAGGCTGTCCAAGGTCACAGCACAAGACTGATGGCCTGCTTGACGATCCTGCCAAGAGCCCCAGGACCTGTGAAGCCTCCTGGCTCTCCTGCCCTGCTCCGCTCATGATGGACAAAAACCTCTATGCACCACTCCTCCCTTATGTGTTCCAGCCCCCGGCACGGTGACAGCTCCCACTTCAACTCATTCTTGGCTTACCCCCCAAGTTGTGTCTTGTGAAAATCTCTGATCGCTGTCAACCCTGACCTCCCTCCCCTGTGCCCTGTCACCCTGGCACGAGGACTGCGCCCACCTGCAGGCCCGCCCGCCTGCCCTCTGTCACCAGCCCCAGCCCGGGCCCTTACATTCGGCCTGGGCAATGATGGAGATGGCGGCCAGTCCTCCCTCGGAGCCTTCCTTGGCAGTGCCTTTGGTGATCACGTCGTTCAGGATGTCCCACTTCCCGCAGAACACGGGGCTCTTCTCCACAGCCTCGAGCTTGTTGACGGGGCCTTGCTTCTTCCCCATTGCCTGTGTCTTCTCCTTGGCTTTGGCGAGCTCCTTCTGCTGCCCGGCTGCCGAACCAGGGGCGCCCGGGCAGGCCATTTCCATCACTGCCATCTCCCAGGCTCACGCTCACCCTGAGGGACCAGACGCAGAACAGGCTGGGTTAGAGAAGAAAAGCGGGAGAGAGGCTTTTGACCTCTTTCTGCCTCATATATTTATCTTCCGAACACCCCAATGGCAAAGGAGTCAACCCTTCTTGTTCCATGTGGCATGAGCCCTCACCCTGGCTCCTACTAGCGCACCCCCACAAGCAGACTCCTTCCATTCTGCCCAGTGAGGAGGATTCCAGCCCACTCCTCCAGCATGGCCACGGCACAAACATGTGGGTTTGTCCTTTCTTGCTTTTATAAATAACGGCCGAATCTCTTTCTGTTTTTTTTTTTTTTATGCTGAATTTTGCTCTCCCGGAACGTGGTGGTAGATTCCGTACTCCAAAACCGCCAGTCACCTCACTGACTCTGCATAAACCTTGCCTTCTTAGAGGACATGTCTACACCGGCCACAATGGCTTTTCTCCAAATGGGGAAAATAAAGTTTTTGTTCCCTAGCAGGAGGTAGATACGTGTATGTGTGCATGCACAGATTTACGTGTGGATATATACATTACGCACACACACACCATTTTACAAAGTCTACAAATCAGCTTGCAAAAGGCAGCGCCAGCACTTGGCTCTTTTCCCGGGACGCATCTGTCTGTGGCCTTCCAGAAGGAACTGACATGCTTCTTTCTGTAATGTCCGTACTCATTGCTGAAAACCTCTCCTAGGTATCAGTTTTCTTTCAGGCAACATTAGTAGTGGAATATTTATATTAGCGCCCCCAACACCAATCTATACCTCTAGGACTCCGAAGACAAAGCGCAGGGCTTCACGTCTCACTGGGTTCTATCTCCAGCAGGCCTGTGCGTTCCCCGGAAGCCCCAAGGGAGAGTGAGCCCAGTGTTGAGACAATCTTGTGCAAACAGCACGTAGACTGGAACTGTCATGAAAGTGATCTGCGCTGATCTGGGATCGCGACCCTGTGGGAACCTTTTGAAAGACTGGGCCTGTGAGCTCCCAAAGCGCAGGTCCCTCCAAGTCGGGACTTGCTTTCCACCAAGCCTGAGAAGGCACTGCATTCAGACAGGTTTTTTTTTTTTTAAGATTTTATTTATTTATTTGAGAGAATGAGATAGATAGAGCATGAGAGGGGGAAGGGTCAGAGGGTGAAGCAGACTCCCCGCTGAGCAGGGAGCCCAATGCGGGACTCGATCCCGGGACTCAAGGATCATGACCTGAGCCGAAGGCAGTCGCTTAACCAACTGAGTCACCCAGGCGCCCCAGACAGGTTTTTAATAAGTGCTCCCTGCTGGCAGGCTGGTCTAAAACTGTCGCTAACAGATGCAGTCTCCCCTGGTGGCAGTCCACTCATCCTGGAACCCAGCTCCATTTGCTCTTGGGGCAGAAAGGCGGGCATTGTGAAGGCAAACCTCTCCACCACTGGTCCTTTGCCCTGTGAGGCTAGAAGCTGACCTGGGACGGTGGGGGCCTGGGCATCTCTAGGCTGAAGCTCTCTTCCTACCGAGTCTGCCTCACTGCAACAGCCACGAAGTACGGAACCGGCTCGACTCAGGGCGGGGTGGGGGGAGGGTGAGATGGGCTTGTTGGTTGCTACTAATTTGATCCTTTCATCTCTGCCTTCAAGGGTCTGCTGACTCTGAATTCAGAGCGGCTCCAGCTTTCAGCTCAGATGCCTGGGCTTGGCCCTGAATGCCGGAGGCTGGGGAGGGGCACGGATGGCCTCATTGTTACCTGTTGACCTTGCAAAGTCTAAGGGGTGTTCTGACTTCCAAGTGCCCACCTGTCTCAGCCTCTTTTTTTTTTAAGATTTATTTATTTATTTTAGAGAGAAAAAGAGAGAGAGAGAGGTGGAGGGGCACAAGGAGAGAGAAAATCCTCAAGCAGACTCCCCGCTGACCGCGGAACCAGACATGGGGCTCGATCCCAGGACCCTGAGATCAGGACCTGAGCTGAAATCAAGACTTGGCCGCGTAACCGACTGCGCCACCCGGGCACCCTGTCTCAGCCTCTTTGCTAGAGGAAAAGGGGTCTTAAAAACAAACTGCAAGCCCTCGGAACCTAACACTATTAAAGATGCGCCGAAAGGGACCTCAGTAGTGCTTTAATTTCATTTTCACTTGAAGAAACTGACGCTAATTAGGCAGAGACTTGCCCAAGGTCACCCAGCCTTATGTGGCACCACAGGCCCAGGACCTAGAACCCCTAGCTCCAGGCTGTGCCACCCCCTCCCGGAGTCTCCTGGGCTCCAGGCAAACACAAGGGGGAAACTCATAGCCCTGTTTGGTCAGAAGGCTCCTGAGGGTGGGGGTGGTGCCCTCAGCGTATAGCACAGTGGGGCACAGAGGAGATGATCGATGTTGGCTGAATGGGGTGTCAGAGGATGACCTGCAGAGATAGGATGATCCCAAGCACCAGGGATGAAGAGAAAGTCCCATCTGGAGTGAGAGAAATGAGGCCAAGGCTGTTGCAAGGGCACCCAGCTGTTTGAGATCTAGCTGGGCTTCGGTTCACAGGGCCAGTCTCTGTCGGATATGGATCATCCTGAGCTACAGCCCTCCAGAGAGGCTGGGAGGCTGCCCCTCGCCCCCAGGAGCCATCCTGTTGCCTTGGCAGTGAGCTGGGCCCCTGGCCAGGGGTCCTGATCCCCCCTCCACGAGCATGCCGGGCTCCCCAGTGCCAGGGAAGCTGAGTCTGAGGCAGCAGGGCTAAGGGCCCCCTCTGCAGTTCTCTGATGACTCATCCAACAGCCTGGCAGGCAGAGAGAGGAACAAGCAGCCAGTTGAGAGGCTAACCCAGAAGCTGGCAGCTGAACCTGTGAAGGGCACGGGAAAACAGGCTGACCCTCACCTCCCAGGGGCACAAAATCACAGCCTGGGAGCTGTACGGCTTCTCTGGTGCCACATGACCATGACTCAGACCCTCACTGATAGCCTCTAAGTTCAAGAAGCTATTCTCAGGATACTCTGGCCTGAGAGTAGCTCTCCTACACATTCACACACGTTTGCTCCCTCCCTCCTCCCCCACTTCCACAAGGGTTCTGGCCTACAAAAAATAGGGTTCTGCATTAAGCCTGGGACTGCTGGCCAGGTGGCCTTCCTAGCCTTGGGCTTTGCCCCTGGCTTGTTGCCCCAGACAACTGCCCTGCAGCTTTGCCCCTTCTTTCTTCTGTAGCTTGTGGGGAGTGAAGACTGAGCCAGTTGCGTCTCTGCCTTTGAAGGCAAGTCAAAATCCTGATCCATTACTCAGTCTGGATGCTCTCCCCAGCTCCACTCCGGCCTCAAATGCATCCTGCTCCTCTCTGTCACAGCCGAGGATGTGGGCACTGGTAATAGCCAAGCCCACTGAGCTCACCTACAAGGCCACAGAAACCAAAGGGGAAAGAAAAGGTGTGCTATTGGTTCAGTATTCCTTTAGGGCCTGGTGCACGGGCACTGCTTGCTGTCTTCTATGGGGCCTCGATGACCGCCCCCCCCGGAGAAGTCTGGTGGTCGCAGTGACTGGGACGGTACCAGAGCGACCCTTGGGCATATCTGTAGGACATGCCTGCTGTGGGCAAGGCTCCTGGGCCCTGAGACAAACTTGGCTCCCTTACCAGCTAGTAAAACTCTTCTGTCCAAGTTGGGGAATTTTTTTTTTTCTTTTTTTTAAGTAGGCTCCATGCCCAGCGTGGAGCCCAATGTGGGGCTTGATTCACAACCCTGAGATCAAGACCTGAGCCAAGGGCGCCTGGGTGACTCAGCTGGTTAAGCGACTGCCTTCGGCTCAGGTCATGATCCTGGAGTCCCTGGATCGAGTCCCGCATCGGGCTCCCTGCTCGGCGGGGAGCCTGCTTCTGCCTCTGACCCTCCCCCCTCTCATGTGCTCTCTCTCTCGTTCTGTCTCAAATAAATAAATAAATAAATCTTTAAAAAAAAAAAAAAAAAAAAAAGACCTGAGCCAAGATCAAGAGTCAGATGCTTAACCGACTGAGCCACCCAGGCGCCCCCAAGTTAGGGAGTTCTTAATGTGGGTTCAAGGACAGCCTCAGGATGGTCTGTGAGCCACAGAAATTATATACAATTTGTACTTTTACAGGGAAGAGGTCCACAGCTTCCATCATATTTTCCAAGGGTCTGACATTCCCCAGAAAGTTGCTGTAGTCTCTTTAGAAGATCAAGTCCATGATTCTGGCACCGCTCTTCCATGACAAAGAAGAGCTCAATAACGTAGCAGTTTCCTACCTGACTGCAAGTCAGAATAACCAGACGAGTTCTAAAATGCACTTGCCCCAGACCTACTGAAACACTTGCTGGGCATTAGGCCCAGAATCTGTATTTTTGACAAGTTCTCTGGGTGATTCTGATGCCAAGGGGTCAGAGACTACCATTTGACCCCTGGTCTATACTATAAGGCTGTCCTGTCCAATATGGCACCACTAGCCACATGTGGCTATTTAAGTCAATTAAAATTAAATAAAATTTAAAAATCAGTCCCTCAGTTACACTAGTTACCATATTGGACAGTGCAGATAGAGAATGTTTCCATCACTTCAGGAAGTTCAATCAGACAGTTCTTGTTTACAGCTATGATAGCAATGTTTTCTCTGACAGCAAAATTTCTGCTCCTAGGATTCTGTGGCAGGACTGGAATCTAGGCTAAATGAATTGCCGATTAACTAGAAGGTACAAAAATATGTTTTATTTTGATCTTCAGTGATGATAACCTTCACATTTCAGTTCCCTTTTTTAGTAAGTGCAGTAAAAACACCAGACTAGGAACCAGACGAGAGGGGTTCTAGCCTTGGCAACTTTTTAAAAAAAAAGCAGTGGGACCATTTTTGTCAAATGAACTCATAGCTCAACGCCCAGTATATAAAAGAGCTAGAAGCACGCAAATGGTATGTAACTCACATGAGAAACAGCTGATCTGCTAGAGAAGGTGGGCAAGAGCCTCATGCACTCAGCTTCCCTTCATCCACCAGGGATTTCTGTGGAATCCTAGGTCTTCTCTTCTGAGGAAGAGAGCTTGAAAACCAGTGGCCTAGGAAATCTTGTGAGGTTCCTTCTAGTTTCCCAAATGTAACCGATCTGTCAGGATCATCTGAGGGCAGGATGACCAATTCAGAATGATCACTGTCGATATTCACTAAGCACCTACCATTATTGACCTCATTTTCAGATGTGAAGACTGAGGCTCGGAGAAGGCCTGGGGCCTGCCAGACCAGCAACACAGTTACAAGTTGCAGAGGTGGGGCTGGACCCACACGCGGCTGTCTCCAAGCCCGCATGCTCAAGCTCGAGCAGGCCACTGAGATTCTTATCTCAGCTGCTTCCGACTTGTTCTGAGGACTGAATAGGCAGTCGGTCTGCCTGGTCCGCAGAAGATGCTGAATGAAAGCTCATTCTCTTGCCCTTCACCTGCCTCACGAATGCCATCACCGAGACAATGGGACTTCTCGGTATTGGCACGACAGAGACAAGGTGTTCAGTTGTAGCGAAGGCATTTAACACGCTGAGCCTCGGGCCTCTGTATATAAAAGGCAAATAAAAATCTCTGTTTTACAGGGTCATCTTGGAAATGTCCACTGAGGCACCAGGGCAGACCAGGGCAAATCCCTCTCATGACTATTTCATCTGGAAGTAAAAACTTGTCCTCCTCTGAATGCCCAGAGGGGACAAATAGCAGAAGTAGAATGACTCAACTTCCTTAATAAGATATTAGTTGAAAACCAATCTTATTCTGATGCTTCCTCTTTTAAGCCTTCAGCTTGCCTGGCCACTAGGCCACACTGGGCTGGCTTCTGCCTATCAGGAATGAGGGGCTGTGCAGGAAGGGGAACCAAGGTCAAGTGCCAGGCAGAGTGAGCTGGCCTGGCAAAAACAGCCATCTGGCCCGGCAGATCCAGAGATCCTCATACCCGCTCAGTCCTGGCTCCCCTTTCTGCCCTGCCTGCTCTCCCTAAACTCACCCCCCCCACCTCTGTTCTGGCCAGTCTGCTCCTCTCACTTGCCTGAGCACAGCAGCAACGGGTAAGCCTCGGATTCTTTTCCTTTGCTCACCCTGTTGCCCTGGTAGAGGATGCCTTCTTTCTTTATTAATATCTATCTTTTATAACCTATCCCCTCAACGAAGCTCCTGCATCCATTGCACAAGTGTTCAGTGAGTGTCCCCTAAGTGCCAGAGCCTGTACTAACCGGGATCATTCATTCAACGTCTTCTGTGTATTGGGCATATGCAAGGTGCTTTATCCACCTCGATGAACCTCAAGGAAACCTTGCAAGGTGGGTGGTATTATTCCCATTTATAGATGAAAAACTAAGGCTCTAGGAGATAAGTTGCCTGCAGAAAAAAATGAGGCCCAATTTACACAACTAGAGCATCTACCATGGGATTAGAGCTAAAGCTTCCTGGCCCTTTCCCCAGGGACCCAAGGATTCCCAGTTCCATTCTAGAATAAAAGTTTGTTGGCAGAGGCCCCTGGAACATCAAGGACCTGAGCAGTATTATTACCCATGTGGTTATTACTGCTCCCATTTTAAAAGCCCATGGGATCTGCCCACTGTTCATATTAGTTGCTTAGTCTGTGTAGGCAGGAAGCACAAGAACCAAAAATGAGGGGTCTCCGGTAAAAGCCGAATCAGTGATAAACTGGTCAGACTTCTAGGTGGGTTATACCACCACATGTTCCTGGGATGTTAGAATGTTTAACTTGATTAGTTTTAACAGGTCATTCCATTTTCTTAAAACAACAACAACCCCCCCACATATAAGGCGCACACACAGAAACACGAATTCCAGGAAAGATGACACTACCTTCGCTGGGAGAGTCACTGAAGGATGATGTGCTCTGGCAAGCAGAAAAGTAAGCCAGAGAAGAAGCGGGATGCAAGAAGCAATGGAAGGCCCAAGCATCCATAGGATATGTGGGTCAATTTAATTAACCACTGGATGTAAAAAAAAAAAAAAAATAGTTTAAGCCACTCTAAAACATTAAGTTCTAGAAACATTAGCAAGGAAGAAAGGTGGGGGGGGGGGGTTGTTCAATGGGTAAAGAGTAATAAGAGCCTTGCCTTTTGGTGAAATTTACATATAAAAGTGTTTACACTTCATTAGAAAAAATTACCGTTTAGTATGTATGTTAAAATTTAAGAGTAACTAACCATAAGAATAGAAATGCAGGGGTGCCTGGGTGGCTTGGCTGGATGAGTGTCCAACTCTTGGTGTTGGCTCAGGTCATGATCTCAGGGGTTGTGGGATCGAGCCCCGCTTCCGGGCCTCTGTGCTTGGCGCAGAGTCTGCTTGAGATTCTTTTCCTCTCCCTCTGCCCCTCCCCCTGCTCACTCATGAACTCGCACGCTATCTCTCTCAAATAAAATAAATAAAATGTTTTAAAAAAAAGAATAGAAATACAATTCAGAGTTTCAAAACCAGAAGGGCAAAAAAAGAAAAACAGAAAACTTGATCACTCTAACAAAAGGCAAGGAAAAAAGGAAAAAAGTAGCAAAGGAAAAGGACACTAAGTATAAAATGAAAACAGAAATGAAGGTGGCATAAGTAAGTCGAAGTATTAATGCAGCATTAATCACAAATAGATTAAGCCCACCCGTTAAAAGATAGACAGATAGGATTTTAAAAGATCCAGGTAGATGCTTACTAAAAGAGACAAAATAAAATTATATAGAAAGACTGAAAATAAAGGATGAAAAGAGATATGCCAGACCCATACTAACCAAAGATGTGTAATATTCATATCAGACAAAACATTTAAGATGAAAGAATATAACTTATATGCACCCAATAAAGCACCTCAAAATAAAGGCTGGTGGCAAGCTGGGGCTTTATGGATGAGTGAGGTCTCTGCTTTGGAGTGTCTCATCAAACAGAACTGCAGGGTCTTATAATACAGAAATCTTTGAACATGGGTTGGGTCTGCTGGGAGTTGGGCTCTGTGCTGAGTGTTGGGTGTACCCTGAGGAAGAAGACCCAGCCCCTTGAGGAGCTCATAGTCTACTAAGGGAAAGAGACAAGTAGTCAGAAAATTACAATCCAGTATGGTCACACAGCAACAGACACAGAAACACAGCAGACACAATGGGAACACTTGGAGGGACACCTAGCTCAGCCTGGTGGGTATCAGGAAAGGCTTCTTGGGCTAAGTCTCAAGGGGTGAGCAAAAACAGCCCAAGAAAAAGGAGAAGGTATTCTAGGTGGAGGGAATGGCAAAAGTTAAGGCACAGAGGTGAGTCTAGGAAGAGTCCCAAACAGTTCAAAGTTGCTCGTGGGCAAAGCTTAGGTCATGCAGGGGTTAAGTTCTTAGCAAGAGGGGTAGAATTCAGAGGCAGAGTTCCAGAGGGAACAGGGTAGGGGCAGACGGTGGATGTGGGTACTGACACATAAACTGTGCCCTTCGGATAGAACTCTCACCCCACCTCCCCAGCATGGGCTGACAATAACCTAAGCTACAGGCATCTGGGAGCCTTGCTTAATTTTTTCCCCCAGGTGGAGAGGCTGAGTGGGCACTGGGACCTAGAGACACACTTGAGGAAGGAGGAAGGAGGAAGGAGCATTCTGAGTGAGTGAAGGCTGGAGGAATCTCAACCTGCCTGGCACGCCAGCTTGAGGCCTGCTTCCCAGGAGAGCAATTTCTGCCTCAGCATTTAGCATTAAGGAGGATAGGAAATTCAAGTGCACCTCAATCATTAAAATCTTACAGATCAATTTTAAAATAAAAACCTGTCATGCCCACAAAAACTCAGTCTCGCCAATTCCACAGGTCAAACTGCTAGGTAAATGAGACGTCCGGAACAAAATTTCTGACTCTCCTCCAGCCACCACCACACGCCCGTCAAGGTTGGCTAGCCCCACACGTGCAGAGACCCTGCTGTCTACGGGCCCCCTCAAATGTTCAAGGCAATCACCTCATGTCTATTCTATTAGCACAGGCCTCACCCACTTCCAGCTTCTCCCTGGCCCCCTCCCATCCCAAGTTAATCTTAAAACACCATGTCCTTAAGATAATCTCAAGTTCAAAGACACCTGCTGGCTCTGCACTGCTTATGGGCCCAATATCAACTCTGTGGTCCATAATCTGTCTAACCACTATTTCCCTAAAAACACAGGGTTTGGCTGTGGTCAGTCTGATCTCTCCATGCCCAACTGACTCGCTGCTCAAATCTACAGGTTTGTGTGTGTGCCTTGTCTTGTGGGGGGCACCCTGCACATCCTGCTTGTCTTTCACCGGCCGAGCTCGGGCTTAGGCCTCCAGGAAGTCCCTCCTAATGGCTTCATCGCACTGTCGCCTCCTTTTCTTTTTTTTTTTTTTTAAAGATTTATTTATTTATTTGAGAGAGAGAGACTGAGAGAGAGAGCACATGAAAGGGGGGAGGGTCAGAGGGAGAAGCAGACTCCCCGCCGAGCAGGGAGCCCGATGCGGGACTCGATCCCGGGACTCCAGGATCATGACCTGAGCCGAAGGCAGTCGCCTAACCGACTGAGCCACACAGGCGCCCCTCGCCTCCTTTTCTGACTGCCTATGGGACTGGCTCTCCTCACTCTCCTCACCCTCACCCTGGCCCTTAATCATACCATCACTCCCCTTACTCATCAAATGAAATAACACAGATGAAAGAACTCTGGAAACAAGAAAGCATTATACCAAGAGGAGATCGCCATTTCTTGTGTGTACAACTCAGAGAACTGTGTCTAGGTAATGCAGCAAACAGTTATGGAAAAAGATGCATCATCAGAGATGCTTAGTATATTTTGCAATAGTAAAAGCTGGAACAAAAATGTCTAATTACAGGGGGAGGATAATTATTAAATAAATCATGGTACATCCATTAACAATGTTTACAAAATAATTTTTAACTATATGGAAAAATGCTGATGGGACACAATATTAACAGAGAAAAGATTCAGATTTCTATCTGAAGTATGATCCCACCTAGCCTGTGTCTGTATACTACATCAACCTTTATAAAAATGTACCCAGGGGGCACCAGGGTGGCTCAGTCGGCCAAGCTTCTGACTCTTGGTTTTAGCTGGGGTCATGATCTCAGGGTCGTGGGATGGAGCTCACATCAGGCTCAGTGCTCAGCACAAGTCTGCTTGTCCCTCTCCCTCCTCCTCTGTCCGCCCCCAACCCTGTGTGCATGCTCTCTAAATAAATGAAATATTTTAAAAGGGGCACAGGGTGGCTCAGTTGGGTAAGCGTCTGCCTTCGGGTCAGGTCATGATCTTAGGGTTTGGGGATCGAGCCCCATGTTGGGCTCCCCACTCAGCGGGGAGTCTGCCTCTCTCTCTCCCTCTGTCCCTCCCCCTCTCCCTGCTCGTTCTCCCTCTCTCTCAAATAAATAAAATCTTTTTTTTTAAAGATTTTTTTTTAAAATTTATTTTTTAGAGAGCGAGCGAGAGAGAAACAGCATGAGAGGGGAGAGGGTCAGAGGGAGAAGCAGGCTCCCCGCTGAGCCGGGAGCCCGATGTGGGACTCGATCCCAGAACCCTGGGATCATGACCTGAGCCGAAGGCAGACGCTTAACCATCTGAGCCACCCAGGCGCCCAATAAAATATTTTTTTTTAATTAAGATTTTTTATTTATTTATTTGACAGAGAGAAACACAGCGAGAGAGGGAACACAAGCAGGGGGAGTGGGAGAGGGAGAAGCAGGCTTCCCGCCGAGCAGGGAGCCCGATGCAGGGCTCGATCTCAGGACCCTGGGATCATGACCCGAGCCGAAGGTGGACGCTTAATGACTGAGCCACCCAGGCGTCCCTCAAATAAATAAAATCTTTAAAAAAATATTTTCAAAAACAAAAATAAATAAAAATGCAGACTCCTAGCACAGACATGCAGCAATGGCTCAGTCTTGGTGTTTTAATATTTTTTTATACTTTTCTAATTTTTCCATGTTTTTTTCAGAGAGCTTGTATTACTTGTCTGTTTTCATTTTTTAACAGATAATGTTTCCAAGTGTTTAAAAAAATACAGAAAGGATATACAGTGAAGTGTAAGGCCTTCTCATCCTTGCCCCATCCCTCTGAGGGGATCCCAGTTACCGGTTTCTTGTATATCCCCCCAGAGATGTTCTCTGGGGAGTATTACTTTCATAACGAAAACAAGCGATCACTAGAAAAGGGTCTTGTGGTATGGGATAAGAACTGAAGAGGCATCTGGTTCACATTTGTGAGTGGGGCTTAATAAATACGTGATAATAAATACCCCCAACCCACACCACCCACACTGGCAACCTCATCAGAATCTCTGTGGCTGGTCAGCGAATGCTACTGAAACAGGGGGCTGGAGATGGGCAAGCCCGTCCCTCCTGGTTTTGGTTTTCGTTTCTGTCTCTTTCTTGTTTCCCACTGGGGGCTGTGGGAAACAAGAAGTAGGAAGGTGCTCAAAGATGGCCCTGGCAGCCGTCCTCAACTCTGAAGGCCACGGCTTCCTTGCTTTTATTTATAGTCACCAAGGCCAAGTGTGAGCAGTAGTGAAGGCCTGCGCTAGTGCGGGATGTAAGAAATGCTTGTGGGCACCAGTGGCCCATAGAGAGCGGGACACACAGCGCAACTGGCCCTGAGACAAAGCCACCAGCCCCTCCTTCCCTGCTTATGTCACGGGTGGGACGCAAGGGTTGGTCTGAATCTGGGAAACCTGAAGGAGGCATGCTGTTCTAGTGAATCTCTCCTACCTTCTTTACATAATATCTGACCCTTTTTAAAAAAAATCTGTATTTTGTTTTCAACTACAAAAGTAATACTTGTTCACTGTAAAAATTACAACCATACAAAGTACTTAGAGAAAAAGAAAGAAAGAAAGAGAGAAAGAAAGAAAAAGAATTTTGCCCCATTCCCTCCTCCCTACAATGTAAGAAACCCTTAAATTTGGTGTAAATCCTTCTAGTTCCATTAGCATACATATATAAAGTTTGGGACTATTTTTAAAAGAAACATGGGCTTATAGATATCTAATATTCTACCAGTTATATCTTTCACTTAACGACAGATTATGGAGGGTGCCTGGGTGGCTCAGTCAGTTAAGCGTCCAACTGTTGATTTCAGTTCAGGTGGTGATCTCAGGGTTGTGAGACTGAGCCCCAAGTCGGGCTCCATGCTGGGTGTGGAGTCTGCTGAAGATTCTCTTCCCCTCTCCCTCTGCCCCGCCCCTCCACTCCCTCTCTAAAAACAAAATTAAAAAGACCTAAGAAAACAACAAAAAACCCACAGTAGATTATGGACACTGTCCCACTTCAATGTATGTAGCTCTCTCGCATTTTTTTAAATGGCTCCTTAAGATTCCATGGTATAAATGTACTCATTTCTTCACCTATTCTTCTATGGGTACTCTTGCAAATTGTTCCCAGTTTTTCACTAAGTATTACTGCAAAAACAAACAAAACAAAACCCAAAAAACCCTTTATTCACTTGTATAGGTAAATTCTAGCTAAATACCTGGAACCGGAATTTGTGGGTGACTCTCTGCATGGTCACTCTTTTCTCGTTTCTATGTGTCAGGAAAGTAGGCAGCACTGATCAGTCCAGGACAGGTGGTTCCCAAACATTATATTAGTTATTTGCTAGAAAGATGCTATCCTTGCTTTCAAGGTGCTTATAATCTAGTTGGGGAGAATGGCCGGCTGGATAAATAAAGGAATCACAAAATGATCTTGGGATCAAAAGGGCCTTTGGGGGTCACTTATTCCAACATATCACTTATTAATCCTGAGGATGGCCTCCCAGCTACATAATAGGATGGCCTTGGAGTCCAAAGGTCTGAGTTCGAACTGTAGTCTCTAACACTCGGGTGGGTGACCAGGTGCAGATCACTTACTCTGAGACTCAGATGTCTCATCTGTAAAACAGGGATGCTCGAACTGAAACAACAGGATTTTACAGGACAACTAGATGCAAGAAGCAATCTTTAAAGGGGCAATACTGTGGCTGGAACACAGTGGGTGCTCTAGTAAACGTTAGCAAAACCTCCAATGAGAAAGAAGCTGATACAAGATGAGTGGTCCTTTCCGGGACTGGAAGTACCAGTTGTTTGAAAGTCCTTGCCTCTGCAGAGCTGAAATCCACCTCGCAGAGCCTCTAGCCAGCAGCGCTAGTGTCAGGAGGAAGGTCTGGAACAGAAGCTGTCAAAGGAGGAGGGGAGAATCCCAAGACCAGAAGGGTAGAAGGAGTCAGCAAGGCAAGGCCAGCCTACGAGGGGGATGTTCTTTGAAGTGCATTCTTTTTTTTTTTTAAAGATTTTATTTATTTATTTGAGAGAGAGAGTGAGAGAGAGAAAGAGCACAAGAGGGGGGAGCGGGAGAGGGAGAAGCAGACTCCCCGCTGAGCAGGGAGCCGGATGTGGGACTCGATCCCGGGACTCCAGGATCATGACCCGAGCCGAAGGCAGTCGCTTAACCAACTGAGCCACCCAGGCGCCCCCTTTGAAGTGCATTCTGCACGTGCTGCCCAGCCTCTCCCTCTGCTGGCAGTGCCCAGCTCCGAATGGACTGAGGAACGAGCTGCTGGTGCCTGAGGAACCAGGACCCAGAATTCCTTGACAGCTCAGGTTGAAATTAGCTGTCCTGTGGACATCTTTGGGTGTTTTCAACAATCTGCTGCTACATGTATACATGTTAATTACATGCCGGTGTCAATAACAATAAAAATAATGGCAGCTATTATTGTTTGCTACATATTAGGTAATGCATGCATTATTTCTTGGACCCTCTCAGGAACTCTGTGAGCAGGGCACTAATATTGTTCCCTTTATATGGAGGAAGAAACTGAGGCTCAGGAGCTCAAGTAATTAGTCTGATGCTACTCTGCAAGGAAGCGGCAGAAGCCGGATTTGTGCACAGGGCTCTTACGTCAAAGTACATATTCTTAACCATAACACTCTATTTTCATGTGATCTAAAGCTTTAAGAATTGAGACCCAAATGCAGAAGCTGCCACAAGCTAAAGGTTTGTTAGTGAGAAACCCAGGGACTGACCCAGGAGGAGGCATCTCAATTAGGGAGCATAAACGCAGCCAGCCTATGTTCTGGAGAAAAGCAACTTTAAAATGGCAATGGGAAGCAAAGACACCAAGCTGGACACGTGGCAGGCCCATGTTCCTTAGTCTACCCATGCCCAGCGTGGGTATCAGGTCATGCACACTTGGGCCCATCGCAAGGACCAATTCTATGACAAACTTCAAATGTGCCATGCGTTTTATTTTTATTTTTTTTTAAGATTTTATTTATTTATTTGACAGAGACAGAGATAGCGAGAGCAGGAACACAAGCAGCAGGAGTGGGAGAGGGAGAAGCAGGCCTCCCGTCGAGGAGGGAGCCCCATGTGGGACTCGATCCCAGGACCCTGGGATCATGACCTGAGCCGAAGGCAGATGCCTAACGACTGAGCCACCCAGGCGCCCTGTGCCATGCATTTTAGAAGGTCTGGCTCCAGGCTATTTTACTGTGGTTTTTGTTGTTTTTGTTTGTTTAATAGCAAAGCCTTGAGCATCAGCTAGTATCCTCACAAATATAGTCAGTACTTTGTCTCCAGGCCCCTGATAAAGGGCATTGTGTAAGCTTTAAAAGAAAAGTGTTACAATGGCATTTTCAATTCAACTTTTGAATCCTTTGCATGAGGAGTGCCAATAGCATACAGAAGATGCCACTGGGGCATCATTGATCCACACAGACAATTATGGAATTGGTATGCAGGAGAATGGGGGGGCGGGGAGTAGCAGGGAGGGAAAAAAAACCCCAGAACAACCATACGCAGGCCTCATTTTACACAATAACCAGCAGGGAATTTTTAATGTATGTTCTGTCGAAAAAAATTTCAAGTGTGTTTCATGGGGTATTTTGTGTCACTAAACATCTTGATTAAGCAGGGCTGCAGTGTATACCATTTGGTAATGATCGATCTCCAAAGATTACAGTGCGATAAACTGCCCTGGACACTAAAATCATGCCGAACACAATCAGCTTTCTTTTGATGAGTCAAAATGCACTTCTGGATCTTGTCAAGCCTTGAGGTCATCATTGCAAGCAACATTTGGTTGTGAAAAACAGCCCTCCTTATTTACCCTTCTGAACTGGATTCTGAGCAAGGAGCAGTTCCCTGGGCTATGGTTAATCCCACTGAAATACAACCCCTGCCCTCCTCTTGGTTGGTAACTCTGTTTTCCCAAGTGGGCCTGGCTTTAAGCAAGGTCTACCTGTATGCAGAGCAGATGGAGAAAGACAGGTTCAGCCTCC